AAATTAAAATTATTATTATTAAAAAAAAAATATAAATTATTAAATACTTTTTTTAAATTTGTATAAATATAATACTAGTATATATTATCCTTAAGCTTTTAATTAAACTATTTTATTTAGTATTAAGTATAAAACTTTATTTAAGCTTAATTTAGCTTAGTATACTAAGTATATATTAAACTTTAATTATAAAAAGATAAGGTAATATTATTAAAGTTATTTTAAAAAGAAATATTTATAATAAAAGGGGGGGGTAAGAGAAAAGTAATAAGTATTATTATAATAGTTTAAGTAATAAAAATTTATATTAAATAGCTAGTATATTTAAAAAAAAGTAAAATATTTCATATTTAAAAAGGCACATTATTAAAATTATTATTATTATAAAAGGTATTATAAAAGGTATAAGTATTAAAATTAAAATTATAATTAAAGTAAAGCTAAAGTAAAAAGTAAATTTAATAAATAAAATAATTTTTATTTATATTATTATTTTTAACTATTATAATAGTTTTTTATAATTACTATAAGTATTAAAAGTATTATAAACTGCCTTTTTTAAAAAATTAATATTAAAATAAATATTATAATAAATTTTTAATAAGCTATAATATATAAAGCGCTATTAACTAGAAAGTTATAAATATTAAAAAAGGGATAATATTATTATAATAATTAATTTAATATTATTAGTAAATATAATTTTATTTATAATAAGCTTTTTATTACTTAAAGGTATTATTAAGGTTTACTTTATAATAAAAGAATTATATTATAAAAAATAATATATAGCTTATTATTTAATTAATAAGGCTAGGTATTTTTACTAAGTTTAAGTTAAAAAAGTATAGTATAAAAAAAGGTAATAATAATAAAATATTACCTTATTTAATAAAAGGCTATAAGAGGATATTATAGCACTTTACTTATTTAAAAGACTAGATATTTATTATAAAACACTTTACTATTATTAAAATTAAGTAAATAAGGTTATATATTTAAAAAGTAAAGTATTAATATAAAAAAAAAAAAAATATATATAGCTTATAATACTTATTAATTATTAATATTATTAATATATTAAGCACTTTTTAATAAGCTTATTTAGCTTTTTAAAATATAAAAACTAATTTATTAGCTTAAATTCCTTATAATAAGTATATTAATAAAGCTAAAAAGTACTTAGCTTTAAAGTAAGGTTAAAAGGCTTTAAGCTATTAAAAGAAATTAAAAGTAAAAAAAGGCTAGCTATAGCTATTAATACTATAGCTTAAAAATATTAATTTATTAAGCTATTAAATAGTTAGTATAAGTATATTATTATAAATAGCTAATAAAAATAGCTTAAACTAACCTTTTTTAATAATTTAATAATAATATATATTAATAAAAAGATAAAAAAAGAAGTAAAAATATAAAAAAATATAAAAAGGTATAAAAATATATAGTATTATATAAAAAGTAAAATTAAAAATATATTAAATAAAAAAAATAATACTAACTTATAAGTAAAATAAAGGTAAGTATTATATTAAGTTATATAATTAAAATATAAATTTTTTATTAATTAAATACTTAATTTATAAATACCTTTTAAAAGCCTTTTAAAGGCCTTATTAAAGGTTCTTATTAAGGGCTAGCTTATAGTACTTTTACTTATAATACTATTTATTTATAATGCTTTTTTATAAAATAAAATTAGTATTATTTAAAAGCTTAAGTATTACTTTTTTTAATTATATAAGTTATATTAAATTTAGTTAAGGTATTATATAATAATTATTAAGTATTATAATAAGGTTTATATATTTTTTTTATAAGCTAGTATAATATTAAGATAATAACTTTATAATATTTTATTATAATACTTAAAATATTAAAGGAATAAAGTCTAGCTATATTATAAGGTAGTAAGAATAATAAAAAGAACTAATTACTACTTAAGATTTTATTTAACTTTATTTTAATATAATTTATCTTTTTATTAATAAAGTAAAGCTAGAAGCTGCCTTACTTATAGTTATACTATTTATAAAGCTGCTTTATAGCTTTACTTAATAATATAATAGTAACTATTAGTTATTTAAGTAGATTAAGATTTATAACTATTTATACTTTACTATATTATTAATAACTAATTATAAATCATTTTTTATCTTTACTATTATATAATATTAATAACTGCTAGTAGCTCTAAAGTTATTAGCCTTAGTATATATCCTGCATAAAGAGATAAAGGTAGCTTATATAAGCGAATTGTTATGCTAAGTTCTGCCAAGACTTTTTTTTTTTGCAAATAAATACATTAAATAAATAAAAATTATATTAATAGACAAAAAATCCCCTTGCACGAATTATTTATTGTCGGAGAATTATCCTAGCCAGATGACATAATAACAACCGCAAAGTTGTGGTGGCCGGCAGCCGGTAATACCCACTCTCCGCCTCCGTGTCCGCCTCCGCGTCCGCCGCCGTCCGCCTCTTCCCGCCCCTCCGTAGAGAAATCCATGTCCGCATCTACAGTTTACAGTGGTATTTCTGCAGTTTGATAGGAATGAAAACTTACTTTACATACCTAGTATATTTTGCCTTTGACACTATAAGCTAAGCTACAAAGGTACTAAATGTGACCAAGGGTTCGCTTGAAAGAAAGTTGGATGACGACTGACGACAAATAAAACCATCAAACATGAAAGCATAAAAAATCAGAGTAAATAAAATACAGAGCATTTTATCGAATTAATCGAACAATTGATGATTTACTCCTAACCTAAAGTTCATACTACCATATCCCACATCATAACGGGCGTCAGGTATGTTTCGTCTACTTGAGATTGAGAATTCCCCCGGCACACACCAAGCAACCCTCTTAACACCGAACCTCGTCAGCACCCTGCATAGTAAAACCGCACAGACAAAAAAAAAAAGTGCCTGGCACGAAAATCTTGAGGTATCAGCTCAGGTAAGTGCAGGCAGGGCTCTCTGCTACTACAAGAGTGATTCCGTCTCCTGCCTCTGAAGCTCGCCGGCCGGATTACAAGTTTGTTTCTGTCTGGTTCTTGGAGGCTGTGACGGCGATGTATAAGCCGATATAGTAGAATGGGCAAGACGAAAGCACGGGGTAAGAGATTTACCAGCTGAAGTCTGCTGCTCCTCCGGGTCGCACCTCTTACAGCTCAGTGTACTTCGTATACCTCGACTCGGGGTGAATAAAGGGGCATCATCATTTTGTCATTGCCTCTCCTATAAGAATAACTACCGCACTGCTTCGGACCATCTGTTCCCTAGCGAGCTTCCAGAGAGCAAAGGACGATCATATCCGGCATCTCCATACTTCCGAGCAACAGTTCAAAGGTGCAGTGCTCATACCCAAAACAATACTGACCGGGCCAACTGTACGATAAACGAAAACCACATACCGCATCCCTCGCTCACAATCGTCCCGAGGCATGGATGAATGCTCGCAACAAAGTTCCACGTCTTGTCCTGACCGCAAATGAGGCAATTGTTGGCAACTTGAAACTCAATCCCGGCCCTTGATCGTGCTCCATTGAGATGATCAAATAGATGGAGCGAAAAGGAAATGGATGGCAAAGAAAAAAAAAAAGGCAATTGAAAATGAATTAAAGGAGATAAAGCTGGAGAATATTCATGTCAAAGTTCCACCCAGTTGTCCAGGTTTTGTTGTCACGCTACCTGATAAAGCCTGCCTCCCACCAGCTGTCCCGTTTCCAACCCGCGTTGATGCAGGTCAAGGTGCGGAATACCGCATCTACTTTCCATCTTCGACGCCTCTGATGCGCACGGGAGGCTGCGAATGAATGTCCGATAAGCCCCCGCCTTAGTATGGCCGTGCAACGTTAATCAGGACAGTAAAAACTTCCAGTTCGGCCTCGGGCCCGCCTGGCTCTCTCTCTTGCCGGGGTATGGCGGCAATGAGATGCGTCTCGATGACGTTGAGCCCCGGGTGCAGCATCACGTCAAACGCTCGCTCGTGATGGGTCTGGTTGGGGATGGGCTGCATCAACTGCTTCCAGGGCTGCTTGTCCACCAGGGTCCAGAGGCTGTACTGACGGTCCTGCAGAAACGTGGGCAGCGTCACGACGATCCAGATGCGGGTTTGCGTTGGCGGGAGATTGACGGTGGCCGACTGCTGCATCTCCTTTGCGTTGGGCAGGATCGTGACTAGCGTAGGGCGCTCGTTAGGAACGCTGGGATGAGTCTGAATTCGCAGTTTTTCAATCAGCGCACTCTCGATTCCTATTGGAACAAGTTAGCAACCCACTAAGCGGACATTTTCTCCCACATATAGCGGGCATCAAGCTGCACATACCTTTGCCAGCCGGCCGGAATCGCCTCTGGTCCGCATAGCCATTGACAAGAGGATTCGTCTGGACAGGCTGAGATGGGATCGCGGGAATGGGGGGTCGCGCAACTGGTTGCCCAGGCGCTCCCGCTGGCGTGTTGGCCACGGCTGGGGATGCCCGAGCGCCCTCCTCTACCTTCCTTTCCACTTGCGATGAAGGCGTCGGAGAGGGTGCAGACGCCGAGACGCTTCGAGGAGGCTCGAGATTGGCCGAGAGCTGAGCGGCAGCGCCATTGACGTTGGCCGCAGCAATGGCCTCGGAAGCCTGATTCACCTGGGGCGCTGGCGACGCTACGGAGCTGTCGCGGCCACCAACGTGGATGGTGATTTTCTTGGACGAACTGGGCGTTTCGGAGCCTTGGCCGACCTTGAGCTTGATTTTCGGTTGAGCCGGCTCTGGCACGGCTGCCTGTGCCTTTTTCAGGTGGCTATAGAAGAATTTCTAGAGAGGATGTGAGATCCCTGCAGTGGGTGAAATGTACAACTGTGTACTCACCTCAAGCTCCTGTGCGAGCACATAAATGTCGCTGCCCTCTTCGTTGTAGAAGTAGGCATTGGTCCAGAGCAGCTTCGCCTTCTCTTCAAAGGCACTCCAACTCTTGAACTCGCTTACGCCAGTCGCGTCATTCCGTCCCTGCACGCCTTTGACAAGCTTCTGGAGCTTCTTGATGGACAAGGGGTCGGTGATGACCTTGTAGTAGTCTCTCAAGGCGCGAGGGGGGAGATTGATGAATGGCTCGAAGTAGGCATCGTCATAACTAGAATTGGGCCAAGTCAGTATCAGTCTTCCATGAGAGAGAAGAAGGAGTGGGATTCTGCCGGCTCGTCTGGCTAGGTGAATGACGCACTCTGGTTCCTTGTGCCGCAGAAGCTCCTCCACAATCTTCTCCTGGGCCTGCTGGAAAGTGAGGCCCTTGTAGGGGACATTCTCGTATTGGTGATCGGGCTTGGCTGGCGGCGAACGAGCTGGTAGATTGTCGTGGTTGGAGCTCCTGCGTGTGCGACTGCGCTTGAGTATGATGGCTTTCCGCCGCGACCTCGGTTCCTGGTCCTCCTCGGGCTCCTCTTCGCCCTCTGCGTCCTCGTCTTCGCCTGGGGCATCCTCCTCACCTTCGGCATCTTCCCCCTCGGCGTCTTCTTCTGCCTCGGCGTTATTCGCGCCCTCTTCTTCTTCGGCTTCGGCTTCAGCGTCCTGCTCTCCCTCGTCTTCGTTTTCAGGTGGCAGCGGAGTGGGTATGGCTTGGTACGAGCGGTTGCTGTACGCAGGGTTGGTCTTGGTCATGTAGTTGCTGAGCGCCTTTCGAACGCGCTCGGCATCTTCGAAGATTTGCGACCCGCGACTGTAGTATTCCTTTGCATTGGCAATCATCCGCTTGAAGTAGCTCTCCAGCTCCGCGAGAGTCTTGAACTCGCCATCGAGAAGCTTCTGCTCAATCGTCTCGAGGGAGATGGGCAGTCGCGTCTTCTTGTAATAGTCGGGGTTGCTTTCTCGCGGAACGAGGGTTTCAAAGTATGTTGCGACAAGACGGCCACTGTCGGGACACGGTCAGATTGCTATGCTTGGACATGGGCAAAGGGCTCAGAGGCGGGCAATACCTTTTATCAGCTGTCCGGCGGATCTGCTCGAGAAACACCAAGCCATGCGCAGTGGTCGATTCGCGGGACTCGCCCTTGGAGAGATCGAAGCCTTGCTATATGTGCGGAGATGGGAGTTGTTAGCGCGCAGATCAGATCGGATGCGACATGCAGGCCAGTCAGTGTAAGAGCTGCTTCAGCTGGGGGGCGCGCGGACGTGCAAAGTCGAAGCCGAGCCTCCCTCCCCCTGCTTGCCCGACAGTAGAGGCAAGTGGACGTCGACGACGCAGATGGTGCAGGATCCAGAGCATCCAGCACAGAGACAGACAGACTCACAGCTACTTTGCGGCGCTTGGCGGCGCGTTCATCCGCATCCACGGTTCCATTTGCCTTGCGCTTGGCCTCCATCTTGGTCTGGATCGTTAGCGTTACAGCAGGCGCATTACCGTCAGCTACGGCGAGGGACCTGCTGCGCAGTCGTGGAGGCTCAATGGCTTCTTGAGTCCCGAGTCGCAAGCCACAGGCTGGCGACGACAATCGCCAGCGTGGATTGACGCGTGTTGGAAGGGCTGTCTCTTCTTTTTTTTGTCCTTCTTGCGTCCTCAGCTGGAGGGCGTCGCGCGCGACTATTGTGGCTTTTTTTTGCTGGAGCGGCGTTTTGGCCTGGGGCTTGACTGGCTCGCGGCTGCTGGACGGTTCTGACCGAGTGCTGGCCGACGGCAGACTGGATGGACGCTGCAACGCCGGTTCGAGGTGCTCAAAACGCAGGGCGGCAGGGCGGCGGCGCGGGCGACTCGAGGCGGGTTCGTTCCTTGTTGACGCTTGTTTTTAGAGGACCAAAAGTTTTGGCCTTTTCGCTGTGAGGGCGCGAGAGCAGGGAGGAGTGAGAGAGAGTGCGACGAACGGTACCTTGCAAGAAGTACCCGCTACCACGGCCAGGTACCGCGGCTGGCGCTAGGCCCGATGCGGCCATGAGGCAGACACCTTGAAGATGAGGCACGCAATGGAAATTCAGCTGCCGTTCCCCAATGAGCAGATGTCATCTATTGTGTGCACGTATATAATGACTATAATAAACAAAGGAAATAATTGGAGAAAAAAAGATGATTGAGTTGTGAGTTGATAGTGATATGGTCTGCATTCGAGCGTATACGAGTACCTTCGCTCTACCTTAGGTTAGTAGGTAAGTATGTACCTCAGGTTGGTTGACGGCTTATCTAATGCAGTCCAGCTTTCAGCTTTCACCCAACACGGGCAGCTTTGACGCAAACTTGATCTCTCATTGTCTAGAGACAAGCCAAGATACGCCTCGTTGGCAATCCCTTTGCCTTTTTCGAATTCTGCTCTTTTCCATCATCATCATCATCATCATCATCATCATCACCTCCTCTCCTCTCTTCTTCTCTTGCTCGTCTTCCTCCAGATCCGACATCAAATCAATCCCAGACGCGGACGGTGGGGTCAAACTGCATAACCCCACCATCTCATGACGACTTGCTCCTTAAAAGCCATACCGCCTCACTTCAACCTCCAGGGCCTCACTCATCCATAGCTTTTGCTTCACTATCCATCATCTCCTACAGCCCAGTCCATCATCCAATTGCTCGTCAGAAAGAAAAGAAAAAATGTCAGACGCTCCCGCTGCCCAGGCTGCGTCACCCGCCGGACGCCCTAGAGCCGGATCCATGCGCAGACCCCTGCAGCCCCTTGACCTGCCCATTATCAAGCACCTCAACTCCAAGCGGGTAATCCTAGCATCTGCCTCTCCGCGAAGAAAACAGCTTTTACAACAGGTATGGAAACGAATACAGATGTAACCTCGGTGTCAGTGCAGCGTTGGAGTAACAATTGCAACCCAGATCGGCCTCACCAATCTGGAAATCACCCCCTCAACCAAGCCTGAGGACCTAGACAAGAAGACATATGGGCCCTGGGAGTATGTCGCAACCACCGCCAGGAACAAGTGCCTTGAAGTCTATAGCACAACGCTGGACACCCACCTTGCTTCCATCCCGGATCCCTCCCTCGTCATAGCCGCAGACACCATCATTGTCACCCGTGATGGGCGCATCCTGGAGAAGCCTCGCAGTGAGGCAGACCACATGCGGATGCTCAAGCACCTCCGCGACACCCGCATGCACCGCGTGCTGACGTCCGTCTGCGTGCTCGCCCCTCGAGAAGACGCAAGGCATCCGGGCTACGACATCCAGAGCCACACCGAGGAGACCAAGGTGTATTTCTGGGAAGAGGGCAACGGGCTGCCGGACGATGTGATTGAGTCCTACGTTAAGACCCGAGAGGGCGTCGATAAGGCCGGCGGCTACGGGATTCAGGGCATTGGAGGGATGCTGTTGGTGGAGAAGATTGAGGGCAGCGTGGACAATGTCATTGGACTGCCGGTGAAGAAGACGCTTTCGTTGGCCGAAAAGGTCACTTTCCAGCAGGATCGGGACGAGTATGACGACGGAGAGGGCTCAGCTTCGGAATGAGAAGGAACTTGGTGATTGTGGTGTAGAGACCTGGGCAGATGAGCTGAGTTATCACGGCGCAGGCGCTTTCTCGGATAGAATGGATATCACAAGCTTGTCCTCTGTGTGGTGGCTGGCCATAAAATGGCAGAGGAGAAGAGAAGGGATTATTTATTGGCTTTTGCTGCTAGTACGAGAGATGTCGGCATTGGAGTTGGTTTCTCTGAATGGACGGCAGCTCATCAGCGTCAGTGGCACTATCATGTGCAATACCGCAAGGTAGCCAGAACACGATCGGACAGCTGCAGTTTGAGTAGCATGTGAATAGAGTCTGGGCACGGGATAGAGATTGGCGTCGTACAGAGTTGAGCTTCTCGGCAACAGCTGCATCCCATCAATGCGTGCAATATCATACTATCTTGGAGCTCGGCGGATGGGCCTGTGAAATCTCAACTTACTTTTGGAATCATCCAATGCCACATCAAGAACCAGCATCAACCCAAGCTCAAGCCCAAGCAGGCACCTATGTTTGCAGCTGGAGGCTACCTTACTAGTATAACATGAAGTCCCCTAGACGCAGGGACCGGCTCTTGGGCCCCGAGAATCTGGGGCAACATCCCTGCTCCTTCATCTCCCTCTAGCGCTGTAACCGGCCGCTGTGGCTTGTTGCTTTATTACATAGCTGTCTGGTCCCCGTCAAATCAAATGTTGTTTATTTTTCCTAGCAACTTGAAGTCTAGATTATTTCCCTTTTCTTTGCGCTCGCGCGACGCATGTGATTCCTCCTCTGACATGATCTCAACAATGACACTCCTTGCAGGAAACCACCAGACACCACCTTGATATAGCAAAACACTCCTCAGCGCAATCTACCATTTTCTCGGCGCGTTCTTATTCTCTTCTTTCCTTTATTCTTATCTTTTCCACAAATTCCCAGAGGTCCAAAGTTTTGCTTGATTGCATGGCGTCGCATTGAGCACCGAGTCCATCGTTATGCGCACCGGCAATCACATGCTCTCCCCGTCCTCATCCTCGTCACCACGTCACACATGATCCAATGTCCTCCTCACCAAGCCAGACCCCAGGCTCCGGCGACGCCAGCAAAGCCACGCCCTCTACAACAGCTGCCGTGACAACATCAACATCATCTTCTTCCGCCGCCGCCGCAGCAGCAGCAGCAGCAGCTTCAGCAGACGACAAGCCGCGGCTCACAGAGGAGGAAAAGAAGCAGAACCACATCGCATCAGGTAAGAAAAAAAAATGGCCAAGCTGAGGGAGGGGGAAAGGGGAGGATAGAAAGGCCCGCGCTTTTTGCATCAGGCCCTAAAGGCTGACTGTGTTTTTTTGAACGCGCGCAGAACAAAAGCGTCGGCAGGCCATCCGCGAAGGCTTCGACCGACTCACCGAGCTCGTGCCCGGGCTGGAGGGCCAGGGTCGCTCCGAGGGCCTCGTGCTGAAGCGCACGGTCGATTACATGCGCGACCAGATTGTCCAGCGGCAGGCGCTGATTGAGCGGATCGAACAGGCGGGCGGAACTGTCGATCCCAAGTACAAAAAGTGAGGCTGAACCGGAGATGCAAAAGATGTTGGAACGGGTCATAGGGCAAACGCATATTGACGGTGGATATAGGGCTGCACAGCTACCTCCGAGGCAGGGGTCGTCGCGGTGAACCACGGGTTGCATCGCAGGTGCTTTGGGTTCCTGGCTGAGGACAAACGGGACAAGGCCATAAGCCGTGAGTCGTGGAACCCAAGCCAGCCTGAGTACGAAAGACCCAATGTGGCAGCGATGGCTGTACGCAGTGGGATCAACTGGGGTACTCTTTCGATGACTCTAGAATAGCAATCACGCACCTCTCGACGGATACCCAGAGATTTAGGCTTGCTTATCAGAAGATGATGGAAGCAAAAGATACTACAGGTAACGCTTGGCGCAACTGGACAGGATCAATAGATGGGAGTTTATCATTCAAATGTATCAACCATGCGAAGCATTCTATCGCGCAGCTCAAGCGGGCTCAGTCTTTCTTTGCCCAGGCTGACCTGCTGGTTCTTGACATCTTGCTCGCCAACCACCAGGACAAGACCATAGCCACTCGTGAGGGCCTCCCGAATCTTGGTTCCCAAGGGCCTTGCCGTTGTATCCATGTCTACCGCCAAGCCCGTCTGCCCCGTGAGGCTCTCCATGGAGGGCAGGTCATTGGCCTCCAGCTTCTTGATGCCTAGGAGGACATTACGCACTTGGTCAGCCCATTCAACGACCGGATCCGACGTGTTGACCGTCAAGATGATGGCCTGTCTCGGGTTCAGCCAAAACGGCCACTTCCCGTCGTAATTCTCAATCAGAAGCGCCAACAGCCGCTCCACAGACCCCAGAACCGCACGATGAATCATGACCGGCCTCACGGGGCCATACTGAGCAAGAAGCTCCGGATCGGTAGTCGTCTCCCCACGAGCCTCGTACTCGGGCGCCGGAGCCTGGTACTCCAGCTCGAAGCGCTTCGGCAGCTGAAAGTCCAGCTGGATGGTGGCCGTCTGGTGCTCTTTGCCCTCCGAGTCCTTGAGCACAATGTCAATCTTGGGGCCGTAAAAGGCGCCGTCGCCCTCGTTGATGGTCCAGTCCATGCCCGAGGCGTCGAGCGCTCGCTTCAAGCTATCTTCCGCGCGCGCCCATTCCTCCTCCGTGCCAATGTAGTGGTCCTTTGGTCGCGTCGACAGGGCGAGGCGGTAGCTGACGCCCAGACGCAGCACGCTGTACACCGTCTTGACAAAGTCGAGCGTCTTTCCGATCTCGTCCTCGACTTGGCTCGGCCTGCAAAAGATGTGGCCGTCGTCCTGGTGGAAGCGGCGCACGCGGGTCAGTCCCGACAGGGCGCCCGATATCTCGTTTCGGTGGAGGGGGCTGAAGTCTGCGTATCGGACCGGCAGGTCTCTGTAGCTGTGCAGCTTCGATGCGAAGATGAGGCAGTGCCCTGGGCAGTTCATGGGCTTCAGCCCGTAGTCGTCGTCCTCGTCCTCCTCTTCAGCTCCCTCTTGGCCCTTGGTATGATCGGTTCCGCAGCACCCCGTCGCTGCCCCCAAGTCGGAAGCCCGCTTGTTGCCCGTCACGGAGTACATGTCGTCCGCGTAATTCTCGAGATGGCCCGACTTCGCCCACAGCGACTTCTTGTAGATGGTCGGCGTGATGACCTCCTGGAAGCCATACCGCACGTACTGCTTCCGCAGGAACTCCACCAGCCGATTGAAGATCCGGGCGCCGTTGGGCAGGAAAATGGGCGAGCCGGGGCTGTAGACGGAGGTCATGAAGAGCTCCTGCTGGTTGCCCAGCTTGCGGTGGTCGGGCGGCTCGCGCTTCTCGGGCTGCTTGGAGTATCTGCGCCTGGAGAGGCATGCCGGGCACGTCCACTGCCGCTTGGCGAGGGCGGAGGCGGCGAGCCTGGAGGTGCGCGAGCGGATCATGGCATGTGGACGTGCCAGAGGAGCAATGGCTTGCTGCCGGGAAGGCCTATTAGAGAGAGAGAGAGGCTATCGTCGAAAGGATTGAGTCTATCGCGGCGGGAGCTTTTTCAATGGCTTTATATGGCGGGGGGGCTAGTCTGGCGGTGCTGGCGCTAACAACAAAGTCCTCTCAGGGTCTCGCTATAAATGGTTCCTCAGAGCAAGAGACTGGTCTTCATGATGATATCTAAGCTCGACAAGTATGTTATATCTAAGCTCGACAGGTATGTTACTCGAGATTCTCAATAGATGATGCATCTGTCTCAATTCAAACAAAAAAGACAAGGTCAGATATCATCGCCCGTGACAGGCAGAAGCACCCGGCATTTGAGACGTTGGTTGCAGCCTTGCCGTGAATCCCTTTGCTGCTGCTACTGCTGCTACCCCTCCAAGCCATCAATGGAACCATGACATTCAGGCTGGTTCGCATTGCCCTCCGCCAGCGAAACTCAGCCCCACCATCGCCAACAGCTTAGTACTAACCAACCTCAACCTCCCCTCTGCCTCTGCCTCTGCTTCTGCTTCTGCTTCTTCCTCTTTTTCTTCTTCTGCCTCCTTATATCAACGAACCAGCTGCGCCTCGGGCTTCCGCCTTGGTGATCACAGCACAATCCTTCACATAACCACACTCTCGCATCCGCATCTCATCACTCGGCATCTACACCACCACCAACATCCAGCCCGACTGCCGTCTCGAGCCGCCTCGGCACCGGCCATGAGTTTCGCCATCGAAGTCCCAGGAGACGCGGCGCCGCTGTCCCTGCAGGAGCTCTGCCGCACGTTGCACGCGGCCACTTCGTCCTCGGACCACGTCCAGCGACAGGCGGCCGGCCAGCAGCTCGCCACCTGGGAGTCACAGGCCGGGTACTACTCGTCGTTGCAGGTACGCCCGTTGTTTGTCCATCCCCTCCCTGACTCCCCTGGGACTTCTTTCGTCTTGTCGTGCTAACGGAAGCTTGTCTCACCCGCCAGTCCGTGTTCCTCGACAAGTCGCTGCCCCTCGAGATTCGATTCCTGGCGATTATACAGATCAAGAACGGTATAGACAAGAATTGGAGGTTCTCGCACTCCAAGCTCGGCATCACCCCCGACGAAAAGAACCTGATACGGTCACGGCTTTTCCAGGGAACCGTCGAGGAGGAAGTAAGGCACCTGGCCCTGCACAATGCCCTGGTCATTGCCAAGATTGTCCGCGTCGACTACCCAGACGATTGGCCCGATGCGCTTCCGAGCATTGTGCACTTGCTGCGATCGACCCAGAACGGCAATCAGCATCATCTCCATGGCGTTCTCGTACTGCTGCTCCGAGTCATCAAGGAGATGGGAAGTGCGCGGCTGAGGAAATCGCAAACCGCGCTGCAGTCAATCACGCCCGAGTTCGTATACATCCTGTCAGAAATTTATTCGGAAAAGTCGTCACAGTGGACCAATTTTCTGAGCACGGGACAAGGGGACGGCGACGAGGCCAGCTTGGCCATGGAGAACAGTCTGTCCGCTCTCAAGACGCTGCGCCGCCTCATCAATGTGGGCTACGCGCGGCCTCATGATGACAGCTCGGTCACGCAGTTCTGGACACTGTCGCAGACCCAGTTTGGCCAGTTTCTGGGCTTTGTGAACCACGACTCGGCCGTGCCGGCGCCGTATCAGGAGTTGGTCGGCAAGCACCTCCTTCAGTTTGCCAAGTTCCACATCGACCAGGCCGAGCACTTTGGTGCGAGCTTTGCCTTTCTGCCCAACTCGATATCCCTCGTCAACGCATACTGGGACCTCATTTCAAACTTTGCCGAAATCTTTGTCTCGTCGGGTGGCATCCGGCAGGGCTCAGGGGACGCAGGGTCCAAGGCGAAGAAAGAAGGGCCTCTTATAGAGAAGCTGGCTCTCAAGGGCTTGATCCTCCTTCGCGCCTGTGTGAGGATGGCCTTTCAAGCAGTGCAGACATTCAAGTACCGATCTCCGGAAACAAAGGCCGAGCAGGAAAGGGCCAAGGAGATTATCAGGAATGAGCTGTTCAAGGACGATCTAGTGATTCAGATTGTCAACACCATCATCTCACACCTGTTTGTTTTCCGGCAATCAGACCTTGAAGCTTGGGAGGAGGACCCGGAAGACTGGGAGCTTCAGGAACAGCTCGAGAGCAGCGCGTACGAATGGGAAGTCCGCCCATGCGCCGAAAAGCTCTTCTTGGATCTCCTCACCAACTTCAAGCCGCTTCTGGTGCCGCCGCTGCTGTCGTACTTCCAGACAGCGCAGTCTCCGCAAGCAGACATTGCGACCAAGGAAGCCGTGTATACGGCCATGGGTCTCTCAGCCGCACACGTGTCGTCCGCCTTTGACTTTGATGCGGTCCTGGCCACGACCATTGTCAACGATGCCCAGCAGCAGGGCGGTCTGTACAAGGTGCTGCGGCGACGGATTGCCATTCTCATTAGTCAGTGGGCGCCGGTGAGGCTGGCGGAGGCGAGCCGGCCGATTGTATACCAGATATTCCAGCACTTTCTCTCCTCGAACGACGAGACGAATGACATTGTGGTGAGGATCACGGCGGCGAGGCAGCTACGGTGGGTTGCCGACGAACTCGACTTCAGCGCCACCGCGTTTCTGCCGTATACCTCGGATGTCCTCAACGCCCTGACGGAGCTCGTTCAGAACGTGGAAAGCGACGAAACCAAGCTTGCCATTCTCGAGTCCATCCGGATCCTGGTGACGAGGATGGAGGAGCAAGTAGCGCAGTTTGGAGACCAGCTCATGCTGGCCCTGCCCTCGGTGTGGGAGGCTTCGGGGCCGGAAGAGTACATGATCAAGCAGGCTGTCATTGCCATCTTCTCGGCGCTCGTTATGAGCATGGGCCCGAACTCGCAGCGCTATCAGCAGTCCATGCTCCCTCTGCTAGCCGAAGCGGCAAGACCAGGTTCAGACCTGCACCTGAACCTCATTGACGAATCGCTGGAGCTGTGGAACTCGATACTCTCGCAAAGCAATCCTCCGCTTGCGCGGGAGCTCATCGACCTGGTTGAGCTCCTGCTGCCGTTGCTGGAGTATTCGTCCGACGTCGTGTCCTTGGCGCTCCAGGCCATTGAGTCCTACATCCTGATTGCCCCGGAGGCTATGCTAGAGGACAGGTTCCGACGGCCCATACTGGTGGCTCTGAGCACGAGCCTGGACTCCAAGAGCAGGGAGCACGTTCGCCTCGGCACAACGTCCATCGAACTCTTGATCCGGTCGGCGGCCGAGCTGGGAGGGGCCGAGGGGGTCTCCGTCGTGATTCAGGACATGGTTGAGACGGGCTTTGTGAACAAGCTTGTGGCCAACCTGCACGACGCGTGGGAAGCCCGACAAACCACCGGACCTAACAAACGGGCGAGTAGACTCAGTACGGTGACGCAGGGTGACTATTTTGCCATCCTCGCGCGCCTCTTACTGGCCGAACCAAACCTGTTTGTGCAGATGCTGGGCTCGGTTGGGAACGTGCAAGAGGTTTGGGCCTGGCTCTCGTCGGAGTGGTTCTCATACCAGTCTGGCATGGACAACCTTGAGCGGCAGAAGCTGTATCTGCTCGGCCTGACGCGCCTGCTCGAGCTCGGGTCGCCGATGCAGGAGCTGGTGCTGGACAAGCTACAAGACTACCTGGACATGTGGACAAACCTGATTATGGAGCTACAAGACAATGCCGGGCCCGGCAACGACTGTCTGATATGGAGCGGAGAGCCGGAGGTGTACGACTATGATACCCCGAAGATGATCTTGGAGAAGCAGAGCCAGCACAAGGACCCGATCCACTGCGTCAACGCGCTGCAGTTTGTCAAGGTCAGGCTGCAGGACGTTGTTGGCCGGATTGGAGGCGAGGCGGTGTTCCAAGAGAACTATGTGGACAACGTGGACAAGGCGGTTATGGACGCCTTCCAGAAGATGATGAACGAGGTGCCGCAGTGAGAAGAGACAGGAGGGGGGGTGATATGTGGGATAGAGAAGGGGTGGGTTATCGCTGCGCAGTGCTTGGAGGATACTAGTTAATGAGAATATGACTTGGATGAGCGACTGCTGCTGCCTTTCACGATGTTTAGTGTGGAGGTGGTATAGAAAAGAACAAAGATTTGATTAGAACCGACAGCTGCTGAGATATCCAGGCAAACCATGGCCGCGGGTCCATGTGATGTGTTCACCTTTTCCGTCTTGTGCCTGTACCATCTCCTATTCAATCCGACCTCATGAGGGGCAACGCCTTTTTTCTTTACAGCCGACTGCTGCCCTCCTGAGGAATCTTGATGACAACCTTGCCCCAAGTGCCCCTGCCGCCCAACGCCAAAAGCGCATCCTTGACCCTATCGAGCCCGACAAACTCCTCATCCGTATACTCGGTGCCCCTAATCTTGCCCTCCCTCACAAGCCTCATGATGCCCTCCCAGACCCTGGGAATGGTCTCCCTCTCATGGACGGAGTAGGCGCCCCAGTGGATGCCCACAAGCGAAATGTTCTTGAGCAGGACCTTGTTCATGGCGACCTTTTCGATGGCGCCGGCGGCGAAGCCGACGACGAGGATGCGGCCGTTCCAGGCGATGCACTTTGTGGACTTGTCGACGAGGCCGACGGGGTCAAAGACGATGTCGACGCCGCGGGCGCGCGGGGTCAGGGCCTTGACTTTGGAGGGCCAGTCCGGGTCGGCGTAGGAGAGGGCGTGGTCGGCGCCGAAGGAGCGGGCGATGTCGAGTTTGCGGGGGGTGGAAGCTGTTGCTATGACGGTTGCGCCAAAGGCCTTTGCGACTGTGGTGTTTTTTTAAAGTAGTTGATTGTGTTAGTTGGGAGTTTTGTGAGTTTGGCAGATATATCAAGGATGATGATGATGATGATGATGATGGCTGGTGGTGGTGTTGATGAGAGAGTATGAGACTTGTAGAAGGAGACTTGAAGCTGGAAGCAAAAGTTCGTCTCAACCCACGAACTCAACTCAACTCAACTCAACTCAGCTCAGCTCAACTACACTCACACACACACACAAACAAACACCATGATGAAAGACAACGAGGCAAGTATCAAAGAAAAACTCACCCTGCACAGCCGCCAGCCCAACGCCTCCCGCCGCGGCATGCACAAGCACGACATCACCGGCCTTGATGCCAGCCCTCACCACCAGCGCGCCGTAGCTCGTCGGCGCCGTGACGAACAGGCCCGCCGCGTCGCGGAACGACCAGCCCTCGGGCACGGGCAGCAGGGCGACCTCGCGCACGCACAGCTTCGTCGCGAAGGCGCCCTGCGCGGCGCCAAAGACGCGGGCGCCGACGGCGAAGCGCGGACGGGATCGGGACCGGCGCGGGACGGAGAGGACGATGCCGGCGAACTCGGCGCCGGCTACCCATGGGAAGGCTTTTTTCAAGATGTACCAGTCAGCTTTTTGTGGCTCTGAAGGTTTGGAAAGGATTCTAGATGAGGAAGATTGAAGACTAAGAAGAAGGGGGGGGGGTTGAAGTTGGGGTTAGGGAAAGGCAGTGAGTGAGTGAGTGAGTTGCACACGTACGAGGCTGGTTCTGATAGCGGCCTTGAACCTGGAGAATATCAAAGAAGTTGGCGGCGGCGGCGTGCACTTCAATGACATACTCGTCGTCTTTGGGGACGGGATCCGGGAGGTCCGTGACTTGGAGCTCTTCAGGGCTCTATAGAGTGGCGAGAGAGATGCCATGGTTCTTTAGGTCAGCCAGCTGTTCGTTTGGTTTTTTGAACTCGGGCGGAGAATTTGAGAGTGAGGGATGTCTCGGACAGGACCAAACAGAGGTGAGAGGACTGGTTGTGGTTGTGGTTTCTTACCTTGACATATTTCCGAATCTCAATGCCACGCATCTTGGATAAAGTATGTATCAGTTCAGACACTGTTGATGATTCAATTGCAGAGAGAGAGAGGAAGAGAGAGAGACAGGCAAATGAAGATGAAAGTAGATGACTATGCAAAACGAAAAGAACAAAACGGTAAATCTTTAAAACGCAGAATGTCAGCTCGAGGCATAAGACAAAGTCGGGCTTGCAACGCAATTGGGGCAAAGGTGTACATAAGGCAATTGAAGGTAAGCCCAATAGTAAGAGGTACTAAAAGAGGTGACAAGTCCGGGGTCGTTTTGGGGGGGTTGAGGGTGGGGAAGAGGAGCCGAGGCATCTCCCACGCTTCGGAAGCGGGTAGCCGACAAAGTGGCTGAACTTGGATCGACTTTGTTGGAGATGCAGGATATCAGGTATTATGATGATCTGATGGACATTTCAGTGGCCTTGCTTGCAGGGTTCTATCATTACTCTGTATTCTTCTCTAGGGTTGATTAAAGCTATAATAACTTGGTAGCCTGAGCTTCATTGGAGAGACCAAGCTTGGGTAACACCTCTGTGCAGTCCATCGTGGCGCGAGACATCAAGACTCCCATCTCCTCAAGCCTCATCCCAGTTCTACCCCCTTACTATCTTACTACGGAGCTGCACCAGCATGTCTGCGCCAGCGTCTAATACCGGTCGTGCTTATACACAATACTTCTCATTACGTGAAGAAGAAACAAAATACACAGAGTAAATCGCGCCCGGTTGCCATGCAAACTCTCTCGAGGCCCGGTCTTTCATAAAAGAGGAAAATTGAAAGGCCCGTTGTCCACGCCTCCCTGCTCGTCGTCGTGGCGCTGCGGCCAATATTATCAGCCAGATATCTCAACGCTTCCATCATTATCCACGCTCGATCCCAGAATTCAAAAGGCGGCAGAAGATGTGCCCTCCCTTCCTCCAACCGCTCAAACACCCCCAAGCAGATGCTCGACAGCGCCCTGCACGCTTCCCCCGCTGCGCCTCAGCGCGGCCACGTTTCGGTCAAAGTCGTAGAATCCCATGTCATTGAGTTGCCTCAGCTGCTCCGCATAGCGCTCCTCAGGCGGCCTATTGTCCGCAGGGGGAGCTGCCTGCGGCGCAAACATCTGCATCATCTGCTGGAACTGCTCCGGGCCCATGGCAAAGGGGTTCGCGCCTCCAGCCGCCAGGGGAGGAAACAGAGCCGCAAAGGGGTTCGCCGCCGCCTGGGGCTGGCCCGTGCCTGTAGTGGCAGTAGTGGCCGAGCCAGCGCTCGTGTTGGTGGTGTTTGCATCGCTTGCGGTTCCCGTCGTCGTCGTCGATCCAGTCGTCGAAGCCGTGTCTGCGCCGGACTGGGGTGGAGGGGGGAAGTTGAGCATCTGCTGGAGCATGCTGAGGCCGTTGGCGCCGCCAGCACCCCCCATGAAGCCCGGCAGCATGAACGGGTTCGCAAAGGGGTTCTGCTGAGCCGTGGCGCCCTGACCAGCGGCACCGTCGGCCGCGGGCGCGCCCTCGGGTGTGGTGTCCGTGGCGCCAGGGGCAGGGAAGGCCGAGTCGCCGCCTCTGCCCATTGCGCGCTGCATGCGCATCGCTTGTGTCATCATCTGCGGGTTGCTCATCATCTGGCGCATAAAGGGCGACGTGATGATCTCGCGGGCGTTGGGGATGTTGCGCAGCATCGGGTTCGACTCGATGAGCATGTTGATGAAGTCGGGGTTGTTGAGAGCCTCGTTCATGGATTGCTGCACGTTGGGATCGGACATCATGCGCGACAATCGCTCCTCGTCCATGGGAGGGCCCATCTGTTGCAGAAAAGCGTCAGTCATGAGGGAAATCACAGCTACAGCCACAACCACAATCACAACCACAATCACAACCACAATTACAACCACAACCACAGCAAGCCCGTTCATCGCTCAGGAGGGGAAATGCAGGATGGCACTTACGCCGCCGTCAGGGCCAAACATGTCCATGCCGGGCAGGTTGATCTGGTGGCCGGCGTACCTGGCGCCCGTCAGGCCGGCCAGCGGGTTGTTGGCGGTGCCCGAGGCCATGTTGGTGGGCACGGCGGCGGGGGTGGGCGTCGAGGAGGAGGCGGCCGGGGCGGCGTTGCTGGCGGCGCTCTTGACCATGTGGATGGTGTTGTTGGGCTTGATCTTGTACGTGGCCAGCGTGTCGTCGTTCTTCATGACGCGGCCCGAGTAGATGAGGCGCTGGCGCTCGACCGGGATGTTCTCGAACTCGGGCGTCGACAGCTTCGTCTTGAGCTCCAGCACCGTCGCGGACTCGGGCATGGTGATGGTGTGCGAGCCCTCCTGCGCCGTCTTGACCTTGAAGGTGACTTGGGCATCGCCGCCCGCCTCTGCGTTGTCGGCCATGACGAGGCGAAGCAAGATGATGGAGAGAAAGAGAGGGAGAGAGAGGGGCAGAGAGGGATGGAGGGGAGTCGAGGTTGTCGCTGTTGGTCGTGCTTGGGAACAGAAGATGGGAGGAGAGGGAGTCGCAATAGAGAAGATCAGCAAGACGCAAGCCGCGCTGCTGGAAATGCGAGAAAGCTGGTCGACAGTCAGGTGTATTGCAAGGGACGATAAGGTAAGGTAAGGTGTATAGGATGAGGTGGGAAAATGCGTCTTGTGGCGAGATGCGGCAGTTTACATAAGGTGACGAGAGGCTGAGGCGGGTGGTGGGGCAGATCAATGGATATTCAATGGATGGTGCTACTACTATGTAGGTACTTAGTATGGTGCTCAACTGGGGCTCCAGTTGACTGCGGATCGCTCCAGCGGCTTCAGCACCCGTGGCCTCGCTGAACTCCAGGGCGTCTGCGGTGCCTGAGATGGTGGCAGCAGGGCCAAGTTTAGTGGATGAGGTGCGCTGTCCTCCGTTTGATGTCCTGGTGGTCTACAAGCAACCTGGGAGCAAGCCGCCGGTCCAGGCAGCTGCTGCACGTATCAATGCGCTTCCATTGCCGTCCGTTGGCTTCTATGGACACATGCCCGTCTGTTTGTTCGTCGAGACTGACTGACTAAGGCTCAGCTCAACAGCAAGGATGCGGTGCTTTGATTGACCCGTCGTCGGAGCCCTTGTTTCAGCTACCCGGGATCTCTTACACTGGGGCATCCATTTGCACCTCTCAAGGATTGTTGGCATACACGGAGTACCAAGGCAGTTCAGACTTGGATGAGATGAGAGACCTAGTATACTAGGTAGTCACGTCACTAGGTAGTTCTATTACCAGCAAAGGACATGTCAAGTTTGGAATTATAACCATTATAAGTCCCAAGTCTACCGACAACTAGTAGTACCCTACATGTACCTTAAGGTATGTAACCTTTGCGTCTTAGCGGGAAACTCCACGTCCAAGTCCAGAATACCGCGAGTGAGGTACCTGCCATTGCTTCAAGCTCCAGCGAAAAGCTTAATCAAACCTCATCTCTTCATCACATCTTCGGTATCAATACATACGTACAGACTCATCTCACATCAACCATTGCTCTCCTCGGAAGCACCCAAACGATTGCCCCTACGCGAAATGATATAGCAGCTTCAACTTGTCCATCAAAAGACGCCTCAGCGCCATGACGCTGCACTCACACTCGCACTCGCACTCATCACCATGATCCTCGGCATCTTTTACGCGCGATTCTTCCCCCAGGAAGGTATTGCATCTCATCTCATTCCTTATTCCAGAAGAACTTCTCTCATCACGGACTCACGCTCTTCTCCAGGCCCCAAAATCGTCGCGCAATCCCCTCCAGGCTGCATCACCGCCTCCTCCTCATCCTCGGGCAACAACAATAACAGCAACAACAGCAACAACAGCACTCACGGGAACAACAACAGCAGCAGCAGCAGCAGCAACAATAACAGCCACAGCCACAGCAACAACAGCCCCCTCGTCGACTTCGACGTCCTCCAGGAATACATCATCCCCCGCCAGGCCTTCTGCAACCGCTTCATCTCCATCAACTCCCCCGACGGCAAGTACACCATCCTGGGCTTCCCCGTCGTCATCCCCCACACAAAGTACATGCGCAATGAGTTCATCTTCAACTTTGGCCTGCTCGTCGATGCCGAGTGTGATCAGGCGCCCTTTGAGAGCGTCGTCCGCTGCCTCGCCGAGACCTTTGCCGAGATGGAGAAGCAGAACGAGTACCTCAGCCTCAGCGAGGCAAAGGGGCCCGAGGACGACTCCATGCGGAGGCCCATTGAGAGCCTGCTGGAGATTGTCAAGGAGGATCTCAACAACTATGGCGAGTGCATGATACCAGTTGGTCAGTTCATACTCCCCCTCTTCTTCTTCTTCTTCATCATCATCATCCTCCTCCTCCTCCTCTCATCTCCCACCACCGGCAGCCTCATTCCACTTCCGTCGTGGAACATCAAATACTCACACACCATCCCCCTTAGACGAAGCAAACATCATCAACATGAAGCTCTTCCCCCACCACGCAACCCCCCCAGTCGTCAAGGGCTGGCACGTCCCCGTCGCCCGCACAAAGTTCCCCGAGATCGTCGACCCGACCTGGGACATCACCCTGCAAAAGGTCGTCGCCAAGATCGACGGCGTCTCCGACGTCCGCCGCATCGCCCATGAGGCCAGCGTCTCCCTCGACCTCGCCAAGATCGCCATCCGCCACCTGCTCTACTACGACACCATCTTGCTGCTCGACATCTTCTTCTTCAGCTCCTGCTACGCGCCGCGGCCGGGCATCCACGACTTCATCCGCAACGTCGACGGCATCGTCGACGAGTGCGCCGGCTACGTCTCCCACGGCAGGGCCCGCGTCAGCAATTACCTGCTCATCCGCTTCATGGCGTCCTTTTCCCCCGGCAAGAGCATCAAGGAGTGGATCATGAACCACCGCGACAACGGGTTCGAGCTCATGTCGTACATTGACATCCGGCGCTTCGTCCAGTTCGGCGTCATCAAGGGCTGCCTTTACCGCGTGCACAAGTACGTCGTGTCCAAGCAGTACCTCGCCTCTCTCGCGACGGGGCAGAGCAGGCCGTTGGCTGGCGGCGATCCGTTGCAAAAGTACACGGATGGGTGCCACCACATGGATCAGATCATGACGGAGCAGAACTTGACCAATGATCAGGTCATGGATAGGCTCAAGATGCTGCCCGTTCCCAGGGGCGATATTACAGTGTTTTACAGGTAAGGTTTTCTCGGGGGCGAAACAAGGAGTTGCAGGAGTATCGTTTCTTTGGTTTCGTCTACAAGATATATATATACAGCATCTAGTTGTCATGAAATCTAATAATGTCATATCATACATGCCTTTCTTCCCTTGCCTTTTTGAGGTTTTTCCAAATGATAATGTTACAACGCGAAAGATTTCGCAAATAAATCGGCTTGCTTCTTGCAAGTCCCACCTCTACCACCTCGACGAATCATTCGAGTCATTCTTGTTCACCCTCCCCCTCTTCAGATACGACGGCACCCTCTTGGGCAGCTCGATGTTGGGGTTATTCGGGACCTTGACGGGCTCCTCCTCCCTCTTCCTCCTGTTGAGCTCCGCAACAATCTTCCGATTCGACATGTGCTCGCCCTTCTCCTCCGCCTCGGCCCGCAGCTGCTCCTTGACCTGTCGGACCACGCCCGTGTACGGCTGGCCCGGATAGATCCTCTTGCTGGCCGCCCACTCCTCGTCGCTGACGAGCTCGATGATGCGGATGTTGTGCTTGCCCTTGCGCAGAATCAGCAGCTTGTCGTCAATGACGAACTTGGTCGTCTCCTCGGGGAACCACATCTTCATGGGCGTCCAGTCGAGGTTGCCCGGCACGAGGCCGCGCTTCTGGCCGGGCCGGGCGGCGACGTAGGCGCCCTGCTGCGCGACCAGCCGCTGGCCCTCGCTGGCGCTGTTGACGAGGCCGGCCGCGTAGAGGAGCTTGGCGGGCGACAGCTTGAGCACCGAGTGCGGCAGCTCAATGTCCTTCCTCGGCGCCGTGTTGGGCGTCAGGATGCCCGTCTCGGGAGCGGGCTCCCGGACGTAGTAGGGCAGCTGGCCGCCGAAGCGGAACTGGTGCTGCTGCGCCTCCTGCACGGCCCGCTGCGAGCCGTGCACGAGGGACAGGACCTCGAAGGCGAGCGTGTGCTGGGCGATGCGCTTCGACGGGTCCGCCTGGTGCTCGACCATGACCTCCTGGATCTTGCTCATCGGCATGAAGGTGAAGAGCTTCAGAAGCTTCTCAACCTCGTCGTCCGAGCGTCGCATAAAGTAGCCGTAGAGCTCAAAGGGCGACGTCTTGAACTCGTCCAGCCAGACCGCGTTGCCCGTGCTCTTGCCAAACTTGACGCCCGCGGAGTCCGTCAGGAGTGGCACGGTGAAGCCTACCGGCTCGTTCTGCCATGTAGGATCAATCTTCATCTCAGGCATCTCCTCCGACTCTCTGACAATCTTCAAGGCATCGATGCCGGCAACAATGTTTCCGTACTGGTCAGAGCCGCCAATCTGCATCTGGATACCCAGTTTCTGGTACATGTGCCAAAAGTCCCAGCCCTGGAACAGGGGATACATGAATTCGCCCAGAGACATGCCATCGCCCTCTGTCATTTTTCGCTTGACGCTATTGAAAGTGGCCATTTAGCAGGAGAAGACGAGAAGAAGCACGGGGCAAAAAGAGTGCAAAAACTCACGTATCGCGCGACAGCATGGGCCCAATCCTGGTATACCGTGCAAGCCTCTTTGTGAAATCGTACATGGTCAAGCCCTGCAGCCACATGCTGTTGTTGAGCAGCCGCTGCTTCGCCGCCCAGTCCTTTTCAAACCCGTACTTTTCCCTCAGGGCCGCCACGTTGTGCCAGAGTCTCGACAGCTGGTAGTGCAGCTTGGTCACGTTCTTGGAGATGTCCGCGTTGGACAGGATCTCGCGGGACTGTAAGCGGCCGGACGGATCGCCGATGCGCGCAGTCGCGCCGCCGAGGAGCGTCACGGCAGGGTGGCCGTGGAACCACAGCCAGAAGAGAGGCATCATGGGCAGCAGGTGGCCGACGTGCATGGAGTCTGCCGTGGGGTCGACGCCGACGTAGGCGCCTATTCGCTTGACTCGCATCAATTCCTTGATCTTATCGGGAGTTCTACAGACCAGCCGTCAGCGGTTTGAAAGCGCGCAAAAGAAACGCAGTAACGACGACAAGGAGGAACATTTACCCCGCGACGTCCTTGATATAGCCTCGTTCATCGAGGAGATCCCACACATGCGGCAGCTCGCCGTTCTTGATCTTGACTGCCCTCTCCTCCCAGCGCTTCTCGCCCTCTGCAACTTTTTGGAGGTACGACGTCGCGATGCCGCGCGCCCTGTGAACCTGGCTCAGGGCCCAGGGAGATTGTCGAACCGCATGTCGGGAGCTGGCGCATCGCAGCACGAGCAGGGCCTTTGATATCGCTGTCTGAGGAGCCATTGCAAACGGGGGTAGAGCCGCCAAAGGGCCACCGACTCAACAATGACGAATAGAGATCAAATCACCCTCAAAGTCACCATGACCGCAATCCTCGGCGCTGAGGTACAACTGCACAGACGAAGTGGTATCAAGGCGTCACCACAAGCTTCATCCCACCTTGAACAATTTCGATGCGAATCGGCCATTGAGACCTGCAACAAAAATTCACATGCAACCTCTAAAAGCCAGCCAATCAGAGCTGACCTGCCTCTTCCTCACTTTGCGGTCCGGAATTAGATTGTTGCGCCTCCGGACCCCAGGCTTCGGAACCGCCTCAGCCAATCACGGAGCTCGCAATTCAAGATCCTCGGCAATACGCTGACCCGTCGACTTTCGTCCGTCTTTGGCTGCCCGTCATCCCGACCATATCGGAACTTTGGCTGTAAGGAAAGCTGTGATCTCTTCTGCCAGCGCAAAACAGCGACCGCCCAAAGCCTCATCGCCAGATACAGCTCCAGAAGACCGAGATTTGTCAGTTCTGCGTCAGCCATGGCCTCGATTGTGCGACCTTCCCTGCTGCGGCAGACTGCGCTGGCAGCGAAGCCTGCGTTCCGAAACAGCGCCCTGAGGGCGTCTGCTTTCCACACGTCGACTCGGCGCTCTGCTTTCATCTCCCCCGGACCTCGTGAGAATTGCCCCAGAGCCTGCAGGCACATATCCGAGTTAAAGCGTTGATTCAAGCTAACACATATTATTTCCACAGAGCGAATTGAGGGCACAGGTACGGCGCGCAAACCTGTCCCGTCTTGACCCCGTCACATGTCGCATCATGAACGACAGAAGAAAAAAGCCATTACGTAGCTAACCCGCGAGCTTCTCTCAGTCAACGATCCCGCCCCGGTCCCTCCCCCCAGCGCCGCCCACGGCTCGTACCACTGGACCTTTGAGCGCCTGCTCGCCGCCGGCCTCGTGCCTCTCTCCGTCGCGCCCTTCGCCGCCGGCTCCCTCAACCCCACCACCGACGCCATCCTGTGCTCCGCCGTCCTGCTGCACTCCCACATCGGCTTCCAGTCCGTCATCATCGACTACATCCCCCAGAAGTCTCACCCTGGCCTGCGGAAGCTCTTCATGTGGGGCCTGAATCTGGCGACGCTCACTGTCGGCGTGGGCTTGTATGAGTTTGAGACGAATGATGTTGGTGTTACGGAGGCGATCAAGAAGCTCTGGAAGGCGTGAGGTGGATGCTGAAGAAAGGAGGAGGAGGAAGAAGAGGAGAGGGGATTGAAAAAAAGGGAGACATCTTGATGCTTCATGATTCAAGTGCTGGGGGGGTGAATTGCTCGCAGGTTTTGGGAGGACTGTGTATCTGATTTATGCGCTATTTGGGCCGCAAGGGCTGTAAGCGCCTGTATAGAAGTACTGTCAAGAAGAAGTAAACGCTACCGCTTTCACCGAGGTTGTGCTGGTCACTTGAGCTTCAGGATGTTTGGGGGTTCAAGTTGTGACATCACGAATGATAATGCATGTTTAGTAGGTAGGTTCTCGACCGTACAGTGGCAAGCGACCATTTTGCTCCATGGTTAAGGCTCGATGATATCATGGGCGCCGTTATGATAGACCGTAGCCTTCTATGATTCTCTCTTGACAATGGAATCAGTTAACCTCGTAGTGATACAACCGACTTCAGAAGGTAGAAAAAGGAAGATCAACGAAGTGCATCTTCAACGGTCAAACAGCCATAACCAGCACAAAATGCCTTTCGAAGCTTTCCCCACACTTCAATCCACGGCGTCTCCTTCCACTAAAAGAGCCCCCCGCTTGTCGAGTAAAAGTTATCAGCCAAATACGGAAGCCCTCTAGCAACTCTTCAACATCCTCTGGGTGGTCTAGTTGGTTCATGGCGTCTGACTGTAATGGTAACATCTCATCAGAAAGTCGGCGGTTCGATTCCGTCCCCGGAGAGCAAATTCTCCCCGGAGAAGAGTTACATTTTTTGCCCTTTTTCACTTTTTCACATTTTGCTCTTATCATTTGGATCATCCACATGTCTCTTTTCTTTTCTTTCCTTTTTCTTTTCTTTTTTTTCTCTTTTTCTAATCAACTTTTGGTTCTTCTCTGCTCCAAATCGATGGACTAAAGCCAAGGGCTTTAACTCTTCATGAGGAGACAATTATGTGTCCAACTTGGAATTACAGTCATGATGGCACAAAATACTTGAAAACAACAGCTTGAACGTCGTAATACATGGCTGATCCAAGAGCAACTCTGATCACGGGTGAGACGATAGCGCGTCATTCTTTTACAACCACCTTGGCAAATCTGTACGGTCAATTGATCTTATTGCAGTCTTCATACAATGCTGCAATTCTCATTGTTATTCATTTGCCATCATTTTCATGCTACAAAACTCCACAAGTCCTGGGTACAGTGTTGGACGATACCCCTTCGCCAGTTCCTTATGAACTAGACGCACACGCATAAGGTACCTAGTAAGCCTATATGGTCAGACTGGTGATATCTGTCCCGCCAATGCGGTCAAACTCGGGCGTAGGCGGCGGCAGGTTCTCCGTCTTGGTGCAGATCCAGCAGCTCGCATACATGTTGACGCGATCAATGCACGCGCCGTCCACGCGGGAGCCGTGGCACCGGGCCGTGAAGCCGTGGGCCTCAAAGACCTTGATGTACCAGGGGCTCAGGGCCGAGGAGCGCAGGAGGACGCGGCCGCCCGTCTGGAGGGCCCGGTTGAGCTTGCTGATCTGGGCGGCGGCGGCGTGGGAGCCCGTGTCGAACCAGTCCATGCTGTCCATGATGACGGCGACGGTGAGCGTGCCGGGGCTGATGCGGGCAATCACCTCCTCGAGCTCGTCGGTGTGGATGCGCAGGCCGTCGAGGGCCCCGGGGCGCGAGAGCTTGGCGTGGACCTCGGGGCGCAGATACTCGGGGTGGCACTGCCGCGAGAACTTGCCGTCCAGGCAGACGTAGTAGTAGGGGTTGTCGGCGCCAATGTGCGTCTCCTCGGCGACGGGGTCCAGCGTGTTGACCATGTAGTGCCAGATGGCGTGGGAGCGCGTCTTCTTGGCCTTGCCCTGCTTGACAAGGTCCGAGTCGGCGTGGTCCTTTTCGATCATGGCCAGCTGGTTCTTGGGGACGCCGAGCGCGGCCCAGAGGAAGCTCTCCTGGGCAACCACCAGATTGCAGATGAGCTTGGACATGAGGGCGGGCCGGATCTTGTTGCGCCAAATCTCGCGCTGCTCATTGAGGGTGCGGACGGACAGGAGCTTCTTGACGGCCGACTGCAGACTAAAGACGCGAGAGATCCAGCGAAAGGTTCGAATGGCATGGCGAGAGCCGCCCGTGTCGTACAGGCCGTAGCCCTTGTTGTTCTGGAAGACGTGGGTGTTCTTGAGCCAGTACTGAAACGCGCGACCAGAGAGATGGGGGGACAGCTTGGTGATGAGGATGTTGCGGAAGTCGGGGTGCTTTCCATCGCCAAAGATCTTCCAAAAGTCCTCGTACGGCAGAGCGGTGTAGGCTGCGGCCTTGAGCTCCAGGAGGTGGTTCTGGGTCGGGTTGAGGTCGACGGCGTGGACGCGGGCAGGGCTCTGGGCAAGGTACGAGATGATGTTGTCTCCGGCAGAGCTGATGGCGAGAACCTTGTCGTCGGGGCCAAGCTTGAGCAGGCGCTCGTCGACTCGAGCATCCTCCCAGGTGAAGGCGTAGATGTACTCGTCGTTGAACTGGGTGTGCTTCTGGAGCCTGTCGTCGTAGTAGATGCGCCAGTGGTGGTTCTGGTAGAAGAAGGAGGGCAGAGGCAGGTTGGCAGACAGGTTCTCGACAGCGGTGATGAAGGCCTTGGAGCGGATCTCTGGTGCCGACCTCTCAATCGCACGCGTCAGAGCATCCCCCTGGTTGGCAGGGTACAGGTAGGGCGACTCAGTAGCCAGGGCGTCGATGCGCTCAACAATCTCATGAGGCAGACTCGACGGCGAGAAGGGCTTCTTGTGGCATCCCACCCAGATGTAGTACGGGATGTAGCCGAGAGTGCGGTTGCGGAAGTTGGAGTTGAGAACAGTGCCGAACTTGTACTCGAGGTAGTCCCGGCGGCCAGGCTCGAGGCCAACGCGGTCAATGTCGAACCAGGCGCGCCAGAAGTTGCGAGACAGCATGTTGACGTGACGGTCCACGAGGCCACCGGTGTAGTTGCGGAACGAGAAGTCAATCTGATTCTGAACGTAGAAGTCGACGACTCCCAGGATGCCATGAGGGGCCAACAGCGAGTTGACAGAGTCGACGACGGAGTAGTAGTCGGGCTGCGACACGAGTTAGTTGATTCGCTCGATACGATCATCCTATTCTACGAAGCTCAACGAGACTCACAATCATGGACAAGCTGTACGAAAAAGTCACCAGATCAGCACCGCCGTAGTCCTGGCGCTGCTGGGTGAGATAGCTGAGCGAGGGAGATCGCGGAGCCACCTGCTGCTTCATGCCGGCCTCGTAGTCCTCAAGGCGGAACTTGCGAGCGTCCTGGCAGACGACTCGGACATTCTTCCATCCGAGTCTCTCAAAACGCTTCCTAGCGACCTCGCAGAGAGAGGGGGACAAGTCGACGAGGTAGACGCTGGAGAAGAAGCTGGGGACGTCAACGAAGCGCGCCATGGCTTCAATGTTCCAGCCAGTGCCGCCTCCGACCTATTCGTCTGCAATCAGTACTGTCTGCCACACGATTTGTCTAGGGGATGTTGATTCTTCTTGCAAGACTGGTAGAGTAAAAGATTGGGCATCAGCGGGCTAGTACTCACATCGACCCAGATACGCTTGGTCTTGCCGTCACCACTGGCCATCTTGGCTTTCGCCTCAAGCTGGGCAGCAACAAGAGCAAGCATGTCCTCGCGGCCGCGAAGGAGAAGCTTGCGTGTAGCATCATAAGCCCCGGCCTGCTTCTTGTAGAAGCTCTCGAGGGCGTCCTGCTGGGAAGCCTTGGAATCGCCCTGATGGGGTTTGATGAAGCAAGAGTAGAAGAAGAGGACAAATGACCGGAGCACGCCGGGCGTCTGGTCATCTTTTCCGGTGCCTCGAGCGGCAGCCAAGCTTGAAATGGCGATGCCACCAAGGAGAGTGGCCGCTATTCCAGCATATAGAGGATTGATCTCTGTGCCAAAAGGCAGAATGTTAATGTTACCACCCTGAGGGAAGAGAGAGGTCGTCTAAGTCAGCATGTAGCTTCTTCAGATGATACAGATCTTCAGATGATACTGAAAAAAAGAAGAACTGAAATAAAAGGAAGCTTACAGGAAAAGCCATGATATTCTCTCATTGTTCTTAGGAGAGAATAGGGGGGAAGATTGATCGCGAGACAAGGATCGGTGTTGAATCCAGGTATCAAGGGGGAGGGGGTTGAAGATGGTGAGAGGATGGAAGAGAGAGAGAGAGAGAGACAGAAACTGGAGAAAGACAAGAAGAAGAGAAGGGGATAAATAGCTGCGTCTGGGGGTGACAGAACAGAAGGACGAGAGAGTTGGCTTCCATGTTGCGTCCATGCTGGCAGCAAGTACAAGTACATGATCATCTACGAGTGCTTGCCTTCGGGTTGCCTACCTTGGTTCCTACACAGTACCTACTAAGCTGCTCGTCAAAGTACAACCATCATCTCCCGCGTACCTAAACTTGTATTCAACGGACTCATTCGCCCACGGCTATATTGAGACGCAGGCTGGGGTTACACGACGCAGAAGAGCCCACATTCAAGAGCGGGCAGCGTTGTCTTTGGCGCATCCTGCCAGCCTTGAACAACACGGAACATGGAAGCAACTCATACTGTGCAGTGCAGCTCGAGCGGTGGTTGAGGACTGTTCATGCACTTCGCTTCACACATGAACCAGCAGTCTGTCATGTTGCAAACAACTTTCACATGTCAAAAGGGCTGGCTGCTGTTGAACAGCTCCTGCTGCACAGCGCAGGGATCTCCGTCTTGCGGCGCGCAAACGACCGGCGACTCGCCTCACGATCCGTGGATAGCGCGCCATACGGAGCAGCAGCTGGAGCCAATGGCTGAACCACATGCTTGAGCAGCGAGCTGTGCCAGGGATTCGAGATTGTTGGGCCACACACGTGCAGAATTGTTGAGGCAGGCCTTGCTCCATAAGGGACCATCTCCACGGGAAGCCGTCGTACTGTAGTACTAGTAGCTGGGATGCGGGAGACGGACGACAGGCACAGGGGGTTTCCGGAGGGGTTCGCGGAGTAGACTCCATATAATCACACCGTGTCCCCTTTGCGGAGGCATGGGCACTTTGTCACATGTCGACGCATATCGTTTTTGCGTAGAGTAGGTGGTTACGAGAATGCATCGTGAGACTGTCATGATACATGTAGGCCTCATTGTGGTCCTTGTTACATGCTGTGGGGTGCGAGCATCGTGAGTGGGGGATCCCTGAGGATGGGTGTTTGTCTGGCGTGGGGAATCAAGGCTCGTACTTCTACAAGCAATTGCCCTTGTCCTGTCTTGAGAAATTACATGTGATAAGGACTTGTCTCGTGGTGCTGGGCAGCATTTGGAGACCGATTGATGGAAATCTCTCGCGATGGAGATTGAAGACGATCAGCCCACGGCACAGGAAGCGGTATTAAGGTACTGTATGGATTGAGGGACGGACAATGCAACCTGATGACGCCGGCAGAATTCGCAGGGTCCTCGCTAGCCGTCCAGAGGGGTTGAGCGTGTCTGGAGGATGGAGGACCCTCGTGCCCCAGCTTGACTGTCTCGTTTCGTGTGCAGAGTCCCTGGATCGACTGGCTACCTTATCAGGCTAATTTGTGTTGGCGTCAAGTCATCGATTGGCACCAGCCCGGCGGCGCTGCTATGATACTAGTAGTAGCATGATCTGGGGACGGCCAATCAAGCAGGGCATCCACAGCACATGCGGTGGGGAGCTGATGCCGTAGGGGGTTTTGCTTGAGTCTGTCTCTCCATGATTAGCATGAGGCTCCAGCCATGACCATCGTGAGAACATCTACCACTTGACACGGTGCTACTCGTATGTGAGTGTTGGTGGACATGTGTCTCCTGACATACTGTACACCTGCTTTGAGGTGCATTTTAGATCAACGAGATCTGAGAAGCGACATGCAAATATTCTGGGCTGGTTGAGGCATGCACCAAGAGCATCTGGATGCATCATGATGAAATAGTAGGTAGTAGGGTAGCCCAGCTGCTGTTCCTGTATTGCCCATGCTGCTGAGAGGCAACCGGGAATTAAGTAAGTAAGCACAAAGAGCTTCGTGCCTACTGCAGAGGTACAATGACGTGCCGCTTGCAGTTGCATCGACCAGAAATATAATGAAAGTAAGAGACTGCAACTAAAGGGACATGACACCAAGGTGAGCTCAATGTCAACGACGCAGTAATGCTTCAGTAGCAGGAGAAAGCAACATGACCTAGCCATCGCCATTGTCTGACAGCATGCCATTGTCAGCGCGTGGTGAGCTGCGAGTGATTACATAAGCCAGCGCGGAACATCTTGCCCTCCGACCTCATGCCCACTCGATCGCGACAAGCAGCCCCCCATTCATGACGCTACTCTGCGCTTACACGAGGCTCAGACGCGACAATGGGCCGCTGCTCCATCACTCCCAGCACCACTTGAAGTCGCCGAGCTTCCCTTCGGCCGCTACCCAAGATACCTAGACATTGCCAGGTCCATCGCAACTGGTTTGCGCGCCCGCGACGCCCGTCTATGACCCTCTAGGAAGCGCCTGCCGCCCTGCGCCCGCGCCCGTGCCCGTGCCCGCCACGCCGCCATCATGCCTCCCGGATCTGGTCAAAAGGGCACCGGCAAGAAGAACTCGGCCATGCCCAAGCCGAGCCGCAACTCGACGCCGGTGCCGGCCCCAGCATCGGCGCTGCCGCCGCAGGAGTTCTACGACCCGGACTACCTCAACACGCGCGTCATCCTCTTTGCGAACCTGACCTTTGACAACCTGGTCGACCAGAGCGCCTCCAGCGCTGCCGTGCCCGACTCGCGGAGCATCGACGCCATGCTCGATAAGCTTAAGACGCTCATCAGCATCATGGAGAAGCGCTCCACGTTCTACGACCGCGGCATGCGCTACCTGGCCGACGAGCGCAAGAAGCGCCCCGACGACCTGCGAGTGGAAGGAGGAGAGCCAGAGACGAAGAAATCCAAGCACAAGCGCAAGAAGGGCGCCGATGCCTCAGGGCCGGGCGAAGGTAGCCAGGGTATGTTGGCCTTTACCCTTTACCCTGAAGCCGCACTCGGACACACACACGAGCATCCGCACTTACAGGCACCCTGGACTAACACATTGCCACAGAACAATCGTCTCCGCTGAGAGACTCCAAGAGGAAGCACGTGCGCGACAACGATGACGCTAGCTCGTCGCTCTCCCCCATCGCAGGCGGAGCATCTCCCAATGCCATGGAAACCGATGAGAAGCCCAAGAAGGAGGAAAACGAAGAGGAGGAAGAGAGCTCAGAAGACGAGGGCGCACCACCGAGGCGAGAGCTGCCCCAGGCGCAGACGTTTGGAGAAGATCCTTCCACCTTCCCGGACCCGACCATCTACGAAATCCTACCAACCTACGATGGCATGCCGGACGAAGAACGAAAAAAGATTTACTCCGTCGCAGTGTATCCAAAGAGCGATCTCTCCGATCTGATTGCCGGCGACCCTCCGGACAAGGACTTTAGCAATGCGAAACCAAGCAGCCAAATCAACTTTTCGACCTTCTCGACCTACATCGATCCCTACTTTCGCCCTTTCACAGAGGAGGACTTGGCGTTTCTGAGAGAACGCCACGATCGCGTGACGCCCTTTGTCATGCCTAAGCGCGGCAAGAGGCACTATACCGAGATCTGGGCCGAGGAGGATGGCGCCATGTCCATCGACACACCCCAGCAGGGCCGTGACAAGTTACCGCCGAACCAGCCTCGCGGCAGCATTGAGAACATGAACGACAGCGTGGCCGAGACGGATGCACTATCCATAGGGCCGCTTGCCGCACGGCTCCTGCAAACATTGAGGCCGGAGTCGAGAGTGCCGGTCTCTGACGATAAGCCAACGGCCAACGGCGTCACGAATGGCGACGTCAGCATGAACGGGGACATGAACGGCGACGAGGCGAATGGCATGCCCGACGACAAATCCAACGCAATGCCTCCTGCCACTTTCATGGTGGAGTCCACGTCGGAGGCATGGAGAAAGGCGACGCATCCAAAACTCGAGTATGCCCAGGTGGAAGAACGGCTCAAGCAAGAGCTGCGGCATGTTGGCTTTCTGCCGCCGGACAACATCGAAAGCGAATACGACGGTCATTTTGACGACGAGGTTGCGGGCCGACTGCGGCTGTTGCAGGCCAGGCTTAAGGAGCAAATGCTCGTCAATGGCGCTCGCAAGGCACGGCTGATGGACCTGGTCCGCGAGCGGATGGCGCACCAGGAGTATCAGACCATTCTCGAAGACTTGGACTCGCAGGTCAATGCCGCCTATCTCAAGCGCACCCGGACGATGGGCAAGAGCAAGAAGTCCAAGCGGCCCGGAGGCGCCGGCGGAGGCAGCCACTTTGTCGGCGCAGCGGCGGGCATGGCGCGGCCAGGAATAGGAGACCTGACCAAGACGCTGATGGAGCGGCGCCGGAGGTGGATCGATACGATAGGATCCGTATTCGACGGCGAGAACTTGAACAAGGTGCCCCGATCCGAGGACCCGGACAGCTCCATCTTCAAGCCGGACGAGATGGCGGAGCTGATAAAGAAGGAGAAGGACCAGTGGGACGAGGAGATTGAAGAGGAGTAGCCGTGAAGCTCTGACGGAGTTTTGGCGTTTTTGGGGGGGTTGACGATGCCTCTAGTATCAGGTTATTACATACATAGTGTGATTCAATGTTTGACACAAAGGAACGGGCGTTGGGGTATGGCTGGATGCTAGGGATGTTTTGTATGGGTTTCTGCATTGTGAGTTGCTTCAGAGATATACATGTCATTTCGATGAAATACCATTATCTGTTATCCTTGAGTATAATATATGTAAATGTCAGCATTGAGAGGAGGCGTTGATGCTACCTACGCATTGAACCGGCATGAGTGAGACGTCAACGGGTTGGATCCGCCAGACCGAGCGATAAAGCTGAGGCGATGAGGTAACGCCTACAGCGGTGCCGTATCAGCCCATCAGTTGCTTATCTCTCCCTCATCTGCCAGACCGATAGATGGAACGAGCAAGCGCTGAGCATCTTCATGCGGGGAAACGCTGCGCCATGATCTCAGGCTGCCTTTTCATGCTTCTCTCCTTGTTCTACCGCTGATTCCAAGTTTTCCTCAATCTCTGTATCTGGATTCCGGCGCGGTTGCGGCATCTGTGTGACCACGATGCATCTGGTGCCCAAAGAGGTGCGTACAAGCACTCCTCGGAATTAGTAGTCCCTTGTTATAGCGCCTTGGGAGCAGCTGGAGCTCTGGTGGATCTCGCCCGGCTAACCACCAAGCAACGCAACTTGCTCTGAGCTCAGCTCGACAAGCTCGTCATCTCACAGGTGGGATTCCTGGCGCAGAAGCGACTCGCCCGCGGCGTCAGGCTGAACCACAGCGAAGCAACGGTACGCAGACACTCGCTGTCGTTTCTTCTTATTCTGCTTCTCATTCTCCTCCTCCTTCTTCCTGCTGCTGCTGCTACTGCTGCCGTGCTTAATCTCTTCCTCGTCATCAGCCAGCTTCAAACACACACACACACACTACCTACTTCACCAGACCCAGACTCAGACTCAGACTCAAGACTCACCTCTCACCCATCCTCCCTAACAGGCCCTCATCGCAAACAACCTCCAGGAGCTCATCCGCGATGGCAACCACACCGTCGCAGACCTCATGGACCTCGGCTCGACCATGCTCGGCCGCCGCCACGTCCAGCCCTCGGTCTGCGCGACCCTGACCGAGATCCAGGTCGAGGGCACCTTTCCCACCGGCACCTACCTCGTCACCGTCCACAACCCCATCCGCACCGACGACGGCGACCTGGCCCGCGCCCTCTACGGCAGCTTCCTGCCCGTCCCGGACGCCGACCTGTTCCCCCTCGCGGCGCCCGAGGAGTACGAGGCTACGGCGCAGCCGGGCGTCGTGGTGGCCGCCAAGGGCAAGATTGCGCTCAACCAGAGCCGCAAGAGAATCCGGCTCAGGGTGACGAGCAAGGGGGACCGGCCCATCCAGGTTGGCTCCCATTACCACTTCATTGAGACCAATCCGCAGCTGGACTTTGATCGCGAGCGGGCGTACGGCTTCAGGCTGGACATCCCCGCCGGCACCTCGGTTCGCTTCGAGCCCGGCGACACCAAGACGGTGACGCTCGTCGAGATTGGGGGCAACAGGGTCATCCGCGGAGGCAACCACATGGCGACCGGTGGCCTGGAACTGTGGCGAGTCAAGGACATTGTTGAGAAGCTGCAGCAGGCTGGCTTTTCGCACACGCCCGAGCCCCAGGCCGACGCCGCTCTCATCGACGCCTTCCAGATTGACCGCGCCGCCTATGCCACAATGTTTGGCCCCACGACGGGCGACCTGGTCCGGCTGGGAAACACCAGCCTCTGGGTCAAGGTCGAGAAGGACTACACCGTCTACGGAGACGAGTGCAAGTTTGGCGGCGGCAAGACGCTGCGCGAGGGCATGGGACAAGCGACCGGACGCCTGGACGCGGATTCCCTGGACATGGTGGTGACCAATGCCCTCGTCATTGACTGGACGGGCATCTACAAGGCCGACATTGGCGTCAAGGACGGCCACATTGTGGGAATCGGCAAGGCGGGCAACCCCGATGTCATGGACGGCGTGTCCCCGGGAATGGTCGTCGGCAGCTGCACCGATGTCATTGCGGGCGAGGGCAAGATTGTCACGGCCGGCGGCATCGACACGCACATTCACTTTATATGCCCGCAGCAGGCGAATGAGTCTCTTGCGTCGGGAATCACCACGCTGCTCGGAGGCGGCGTGGGACCCAGGTAAGTCGTGTCAAAGGAATCACATTCAGGCAGAAAGCAGAAAGGCCCCCCCTTTACTGACGTGAATCATCATGCAGTGCTGGCACCAACGCAACAACGTGCACCCCCGGTAAGAATTACATGCGCCAGATGCTCCAAGCCTGTGACGAGCTACCTGTCAATGTTGGCATCACCGGCAAGGGCAACGACAGCTCTCCCGTCGCCCTTCGCGAACAAGTTGCCGCGGGAGCTTGTGGTCTCAAGCTGCACGAGGACTGGGGCAGCACTCCCGCAGCCATCGATTCATGTCTGCAGGTCTGCGATGAGCTAGACGTCCAATGCCTGATCCATACCGATACGCTGAACGAGTCTGGCTTTGTCGAGTCCACCATTGAATCCTTCAAGGGCCGGACAATCCACACATACCACACCGAAGGCGCGGGCGGTGGCCACGCCCCGGACATCATCTCTGTCGTCGAGCACCCGTACGTGCTCCCGTCGTCGACCAACCCCACCCGGCCCTTCACCAACAACACGCTCGACGAGCACCTGGACATGCTCATGGTGTGCCACCACCTGTCCCGGGACATCCCCGAGGACGTGGCCTTTGCCGAGAGCCGCATCCGCGACAAGACCATCGCGGCCGAGGACGTACTGCACGACCTGGGCGCCATCAGCATGATGAGCTCCGACTCGCAGGCCATGGGCCGCTGCGGCGAGGTCATCCTGCGGACCTGGAACACGGCCGACAAGAACAAGGCGCAGAGGGGCACCCTGGACGAGGACGCCGGCACGGGCGCCGACAACTTCAGGGTCAAGCGCTACATCAGCAAGTACACCATCAACCCGGCGCTGGCGCAGGGCTTCGCGCACCTCGTCGGCAGCGTCGAGGTCGGCAAGCTGGCGGACCTGGTGGTGTGGGATCCGGCGTGGTTCGGCACCAAGCCTTCGCTCGTCATCAAGAGCGGCCTCATTGCCCTGGCTCAGATGGTGAGTCTACTGTCACCCCTTTCCCCCCAATTCTCTCTCCTCTACACCACTCCCCTCCTCATCATCCCTCACTCCAAGAGAATCAACTAGCTAACCATTGAAATAAATCTTCCCCCCCAGGGCGATCCCAACGCCTCCATCCCCACCGTCCAGCCCATCATCGCCCGCCCCATGTTCGCCCCCCTCGTCCCGCAGACCAGCGTCCTCTTCGTCTCGGGCGCGTCCGTCGCCTCGGGCGCCGTCCAGTCCTACGGCCTGCGCAAGCGCGTCGAGGCCGTCAAGGGCTGCCGCTCCGTCAGCAAGCGCGACATGCGCTTCAACGACGCCATGCCCAGGATGAAGGTCGACCCGGAGAGCTACGTCGTCGAGGCGGACGGGAAGGTGTGCGCTGCCGAGCCGGCGACGAGGTTGCCGCTTACGCAGGCTTGGTATATGTATTGATTGCGTTCAGCAAACGGGGAGAATGGCTGCCATGCTGTCGTGCTGTCATTTCAAGACATTTGTCAAGTCTCTGTGTATAAGAACATTCATTCATGTAGGTAGATGAAGTGTACGCAGGCAGTTATGTAGGGTGTAATAGGAGGCACATGGCGGCTCTTGTATTTGAAAAGAGCTACTCCATCGACTTCACCGTCACCGTCACCGTCACGGCGTAGACAAGGGCAAAAAGAAAAAAAAAAAAGAGGAAAGAGAAAGGTTCATTCTGCACAAATCATGAATTTTTCATCATCGCATACAAAGTTCGGCCGTTCAAAACAAGCGCAAAAGACTTTACATACACGACGTCTGACCTCCTCCCCGGTCTTCCAATCCCTTTCATATCCTCTCTCCCGTCCTCCCCAATTTGTTTCTTTCCCCTCATTCCCCCACTGCTACCGTAAGACAACCTAGCAGAGGAGGTGTAAAAAGAAAAAGAGATAGAAAAAACCGAAAATCAATCCGAATGCCTTTTGGCTGCGTTGCCCCTTCCAAACGCAGGGGCCAGCGACAAAAACCAACCAGAAAGAGTCGACGATGGGAAACAAGAAAAATGACTATACGCCCTATGAACCCGTTTTTATACGAATCGCCATGCCCGAGGCGATGAAAGGAGGGGAAAACAAATGTCGGAAAGAAAGCGAGAGATATAGAGGGCGAAAGAGAGAGAGAGAGAGAGAGATGGTCGTTTCCCCCTGAAGTCATACCGAAAACGAGGCCAATATAAAACGAGATGCATAACAAGAGAACTCGCATCGAAAGGAAGTCAAAGAGGACGAGCGCCTCCGTCTGCTACGCCATTCTTCGTCCGAGGTATCATTGATTTCCTTCTCAACCAAAACATAAAGGGAAAAGCAAGCCAAGATTCAACTCGAGTGAAGAAAACGGAAGTCAGACAAACTCCTCGCGCAAGTTTGTTTCGCAGCCCGTAGTAGTCGGCTCAAGAAGGATGAATCCATGCAGGGGATGCGACCGACAAGGAAAAAATATCCTTCCACCATCGCTCCCGTTGGCAGATCGACTTGGGGCCGAACATGTGAAAACAAAGACGGCAAGTTTCCGATTGCCACTAGCTGCTAAAGAAAGGCGTCGCTCAAGTACTCTTAGTCTTCTTGCGTCCCGACTTCTTGGGCTCCTCCTTCTCAGGCTCGGCGACCTTGGCCGACGTCCTCCTCCGCTTCTTATCCGGAGAGACGGGGGCGGCGGCCTTTGGTGTCTCCTGCTCGGCAGCGGGCGTGGCCGTCTTGCGCTTGCGGCTGGAGGCGGGCTTCTTGGGCGTCTTGGCAGCGGGCGCCTCGATCTCGTCGCCCTCACTGGTGGCGGCGGCGACCTGCTGGAGCTGCTCGGCAATGGCATCCTGGTCGTTGACAGGGGCCTCGACCTGGGCGGAGGCGTCCTTGATCTCCGGCATGGGAATGTGAAAGTCCTCTGCGTACTTGAGCGCTTCCTCATCGTTCATGTTCTTCGCGAGGGGGTTTCCATTCTTGTAGGAGTGCACGCGGGCATTGTACAGGCGTAGATTGTACTGGTAGGCGTTGTTCCAGCCCTGCTTCTCCTGGGGCGTCATGTGCGCCCAGCGGCGCTGGCCCTCTTCCTGGACAGCGCCCTTGGGGGCGTCGGCACCAAGGTCATTAGCGATGATGGACCGGGCGTGCTGCATGTACAGGAAGTAGGGGGTCAGCGGGCGCTTGGGGGCGTTGGGGTCGTGTGTCCGCTTCTTGCGCTCCTTCTTCTCCTCCACCATGGGCGTCATGTCCGGCATGGGCATGACATTGCCAATGAGCTGGGCGGCGGCATCAAAGGTGTTGAGGAGGTCGCCCTGGGGGCCCTCTGCGGTGCCCTCGCCCAGGAGCAGGTTGGTCTGGCGGATGTAGTCATTGGTGAAGGACCTCAGCAGCTCCAGGATGGTGGTGAGTCTGCCGACAGCCTGGTTGACTCGTGTTAGCGCAAGGTCCAGGTACACATTTGTTATGATGGGAAGAAGAAACGAGGGAGAGAAGAGGAAAGCAAGATGATGGCAGGTGGGAGATGAGGTGCTAAGTAGTGATGCCTGGGTGCCCTAGAGCCGCCACAGATGTTCCAGCGTTCCCAACCTAGAGGAACATACGCTGGCGGTCTCATCGGGCGGCTTGAGGCCTGAGCTGGGCTCAGTGAGGCGCGGGGGCTCAGCGAGCATGTAAACAATGGAAGCGGGAGGGGCTTGCAGTGCGGGCTGGCGCGTCTGGGGAAGCGCAGCTCAGAGGCAAGGCATGGAGCCGATTGAGGCGGGACATTTGCCATGGAAAGTTGAGTTGCACAACTGCGAAGATGTCTGTGTCTTTCACGTGTGCCTGATCTCTCCTCTCATCTACTGTTCCACGATGCCTGAAGCGAACACTCGCCGCACAAGACACAGACGGACATGGAAAAGGGCGCCAGCTCACTCAGCATCACTCCTGCCCGCCACTGGGCAGCAAGAGAGATGCAGCATCTCGACAACTACTGGACAAAGGGCCGAAGTGAGAAAGGAGTTGCAGACGTGACTTACCGAGTCGCGAACGCGCAGGAAACTGTCGTTGTCCACCACGCGCTGAGGCACGCCGGGAACAGGGCCAGGAACAGCAACGCCTGGGTGCAGGCCGGCGACGACGGGAGCGGGCACCATGGTGGGAGGAGGCACAACGGCCACGGGCAGCTTGGCCTTGTCCTCGGCGGACTTCTTGGGCGGGCGAGGCATTGCGATGAGGCGGACCAAAAATGGAACTGCACAGCAGGTGGTGGCGAGGCTGCTGAGGGGGCGAGCTTCTGGAAAAATAGCCCGGGCGCTGGGCGTTTCTGTGCGAGGCTGGCTGTCTGCGTTGGATTGCAGTCGCTGGAGCTGGAGGCCTTTTGAGGGCTGTCAAAAGCGAGCCAGGCGATGCGCTGTCGCAACTCTGCTCAGTGAGTTCAGGGAAGGCCGCTGGAGGCGATCTAAAGGATAGCGGGATGAAAAGGTCGAGGTGGTGGATCGGGGGGGATGGTCGAGTGCTGAAGAACGGGGGGAAAACAGAAATTCGGGGGTTGGGGCTTTTGTGGTGGGCGGTGGCGGCAATAAGTACCTGCGCTGGGGGCCTTTGGGGGGGCGCGCAATCAGCGCAAAAGCGGCAGCAGCCCAGGCCAGCAGTCGCCGGTTTTTTTCTTGGGCTCCAGCTGGGCTCACTTTTCGCTCATTTTTTTTTTCGCGCCCCTCCTCCGCTCCCACTCAGGGCCTGGGCTCGTCGCCTGCCCGCTGATTTGGCCGTGCTAGAGGCGGCGCACCCACTGACGCTCTGCTGGCGCGTATTTGTTTCCTGTTCCCTCCATCCATCCATCCATCCATCGAATCTTGGGCTTGTCTGGGTGCTGCCTTGCGCGCTGGCTGCTGGCTGCTGCTCTGCAGAGAACCTCTGCGCAGTGCCCGGCCATCAGCCCAATCAGCTTTTGATTGACAGATTGACAGATTGACAGGGTGATCCAGTTGACGCTGCCGAGCGCCCGTCTTCCGTGGCCGCGGAGCTGCGGCTCTGCCCTCCAGCTGCGTCTTCTCAGCAGACCCCGCACTGCTGAGAGCTCGAGTGCTGCCTCGGGCTGTCCTGGGCAGCTACTAGGTTAGTAGGCGTCTGGCCTGCTGAGCCTCTCTGAAGGACCCGACTATGAGCTCCAGCAGTTGGCGCACGACCAGACGCCGGTGCCTCAATGTTACATCGAGTCGCTGAAGCTCTGGTTCTAGTATCAACCCAGGAGGTCCTGGCCGCAAGAGTCTGAGGCAATGGAACCGACAGACGCACCGACGTCAGGTGCTACAGCGCTTGCAGCAGCCCCTCAGAATGTTCTCGTCAGGGAACGCTCCCAGCCTCTTTTGCTCATTGACTTGCCTCCAGCTCGCCGAGGTCTCGTGCCTCCAGCACCTGTACATACCTACTACCTACATGCCTGTACTGCCGTGGCGATCAGCACAAGACGCCGCATGTCTCTCAGAAGTGATCGATTCATCTTACCGTAGCAGCACACTCCATCTCCGTCATTCAACCACGTCCAATCTGCCCTCTCCAAATTCGTTTCCCAGCACAGCCTGCCAGAGGAAAGGTACATACATGCCTACCTGGACACGACCGACGACGAACCGATCGGCTGCAGCTGCTGTCATCGACCTGGCAGGATCCAGCACAGCCGCGACTTACTAGTACATAGCTCTTTCCCCATGATGCAGCTCAGTTGGGCGGTCAGTCGCCGCCGCTCCACCTGCACGAGAGCTCTTTCCCCAAGGTAGGTACGCGTAATAAGGCATTTTGGCTCAGGTCTCATTTTTCACCCCGATCCTAACACGTCCCCAAGGTAATATGATGCGTGTACCTACCTACATACTCTGTGCGTATGTACTTGTTTATTGCTCCTGGTGCAATGGCAGTTCATCCTCCTTCCAATTCGGATGATGCTGCTGCTGTCGTCGTTATGTGCTGTTCCTCACTTAGACCCTTCTCTTCCCGTCCTGTGAGCTTGGCGCGTGTCCTGTGCTGGCCTCCGCCGGCCCGCGTGCCGATGCCGACCCTCTGAAGCTCCCAGCTCGCCAGCTCTGTCATCCAGCGGTAGCTGCCGGCGACCCGACATCATCGAACGGGCAGCGTCGCCCTCTGAAGCGCCACGGATGGCGTCGGGTCCCTGTGAAATTGCGCTGAACTGGACAACCTCTAGCTGGCCGTGCTGATCTGTGCTCTTCTCTTCCCCCCCTCTGGCAAAGCTGGTTACACTGGGACAGCACCTGACAGCGCGAGCCAATTGAAGCCCCCGAAGGAATGCTAGCGGTTCTTTCGGCCAGCTTTAGGCGCCGCGTGTGGCGTACATTTCAGCACGATGATGGATGAGGTGCCCCTCATCACTCGAGTCGACACGGAGCTTCAGCGCCTAAAAGCGGCAAGTGATCGATACCTAGAGGTGCACTCGCCATCAGCCCAGTCTGTCTGTGTTGGCGGCGTGGAAGACGATGCCTCTGTGTACACTCGCCGGGTGCGCGCGCCCCGTCTGTCGGGTGTCTGTACCGCTGGCTTTTGGCGCTGTTGCTGCTTGATGCTGTGCTCTGTCGCTGCTGCTGGTTGCTGGCCCGACGCTCCCAAGCTCTTCTCGCTGAACCAGCTGCCACTGGAAGAGTACTGCCATCAGCAACGGGCGAGCGAACCACAGGCCTTTGCTGGCTGTCTCTGGGATTGGACAGATTACCCCGCCTCTACCGTCTTTATAGACGGTGCCATCGTCCGATGCTCTCTGATCCCTCGCTCTTCCGTGTCTCATATTCAGCTGGGGAGTCCGATCTACTGATAGCTGGGGTTTGTTCTAGTGAAGAGCTAGCAGTCGAGGGAGCTGTGGCATGATGAAGCCGCGCTGCTCACGGATGAGTGCAGCATGTATTTGGCCGCTGTCGTTGCTCTGAGTCTACTAATACCTTGAGCATGCAGGTCGAACAGCTTACACACGACTACACTGCTGAATACACTTGGGGCACAATCAAAGCCGTCGACGAAACTCCAGGGCATAAACTCAACCATAGTGAGAGCCTTGAACAATCTCTCAAGCACGGGTTCGAGCCTGTCATAGCAGCTCGTCCAAATGCCGAGCCAGGACACGGCATGCCACCTGAATGATACGAGCACCTGGCTTGTAGCTTTTGTTGTCACAGATATTGCCGGGCAGTCTCCAGTGAACAATTTGTTGCAACGTGAAGCCTATCCTCACTGCGCCATCTACAGCAAGCGTATTCCTGAATGTGATTCGTACGGCCTCGACGCTCCTGAACAATCCAGAATGGACCAGCGTCGACCGAGCATTCTGCCCATGCCATCTCTTCAAGTGGCTTATAAAATGAGACGTGCATTCTATTCAGTAGTGTCGCGAAGCACGTAGGTACGATCAATGTTTCTTCTTTAAGCGGCATAGCTTGGTATCATGGCAAGGACTGGCTCGCAAGAAGTTATGCTCTACGTCTAATGTAGCTTCACCTTAGCATCTCCTTTGCTGTGATGAACTCTCCCGGGCTTTCGACCAGCTCAACCAACGAAAAGGAGTGGCTCATGAGGATGTAGTTCCAATTGGAAGCTTTGGAACGATCCGCAGACTTTGATTCATATATGAGCAAGCCTAACAGTTTGGGTCGCATATGCTCTTCTTCTTACCTCGTCATTAGGAACCATCCTTCTGTAGCATCAAGCGGCTCAACTGTTTATGGGAGGTCTTGATATGATTGTAACCTGGCAGCGCTTAAAGTGCATCTGTGCTTGAACTTGGGATGACTACCGCTTCAATGATTTGACACAAGGCCATCCAGCACAGTGACGCAGGCGAAATCCCCTCCTCTCTCCGCCCATTGATGGACTTTGTTCTGTTGGCCCCTTGAAGACAATCTTCGAAGCTGTTCTCTAGGCCCTTTTATAGAAGGTGGCGAAGGTGGTAAAGCTCTCTTCTTTCCTTCTGGCGGGGCACCGTTAACGTCATGATAGGACATGCAAACCATGCATAAATTAAAGTCAGCCTTACACATATACCGTGTCTTTCATGACGTGTGTCCAAGTATGGACATTGGTATATCGACTCAACGTCATTTCTGCTCTTGTCGATGATGATCTTATCAACAGCATATCCTCAGCCAACCGCATTCACCTTGGATAAGTGACGCACCTCCAACCTACTACCTACCTAGTAGTACCTACCTAGTATACTGCAGTAGTAGTCGGTTTGGAATAAGGTAAACAAAGTATCGAGTAACCTTACTTTCTGCCACACACCTCATCGCGTGTCCTTGACCAACCCCTGGCCGAAATAGCGTCTGCCACAAGCGTGGCCGATGTCGACAAGAGTGACCCGTCAGCTGTATGTAGACAGCCACCAAAGCCCAGGTACTATCTGTCGTCCCGCCCCACCAGACGCCGGCATTGTCCTGAAGCCCCTCGCGGCATGAAACGGCGCCGGCATGAAATCATTGCTGTCGACCGGTTTCCACGCATCCTGGCCACTCACGGCTCCAGGACGGCGGCAGCTCGTGTCTGGTTGGTCTCTGGAGCTTTGTGCCAAGACCCCTTCTGACACGCTGATGCTGCCGATTCCCTGATGCCAGGAATAGGTAGTAACTCGCGAGGTAGCACTGCTAAGCATAGCCGGCGGCAGTGACTTCGTACGAGTACCTCAGTACGACTGTGTCCCCAGACGCTGCCCCTCCTATTGTGCCCCTCTCTCGCATTTTCCTCCAGTCCTCTTCTTCTACCATACCTTACCTACCTACCTACCTACCGCCATCTCACCACTTCCTCTCTTCTCTTCTCTTTTTTTTCCCTCCTCACTTATTACTCCAGCTCTTCTTTTCCCAGAGAATTCTCTACTCGCCAAGTCCCGCCATCCACCTTATATCTATCTACCTGTCCTGACCGGCTACAAGACCGTGCAGCATCGCACAAGAACATCCACGATCCCAGACCGTAGCCTCGAAGCTGTGCCGCGATGATCGACTTCAGATCGCCTGGCTTCCTCTTGGGGCTGGTGCTCCTTGTTTGTCTCGTTCAGCCGGCCGCTGCTTTTGGCGCCGGCAACATTGCCTCTGTCTCCAAGGTCGAGGGCCAAAACTGTACGCCAGCCGCCTGAGCTCTCCTGCCATCCTCTCGTCGCTGACTCTTTTGACTTCACAGGGCGACACGGTGACATCGAAGATGCCTTGTTGTCCCTGGCAATGGCCCAGGCCATCAAGGGAGGCCGAAAGTTCAACAAGCGGACCATCGCACGAGTCTACTTTGGCAACTGGCTGCGTGACTACTCCCAGGCCATCGACGTGGCCACCGTCAAGATGGTCTCTGCCGAGGCCATCCGACTGCTCCTCTGCGTCCTCGGCTTCATGTCTTTCGGATACGGCTCCGGCGAGTTCGAAGTCACTGCCGAGCGCCTCGGCTGCTACCGCCCCGAAGATCACATCGACAACCCCAAGGGCTATGCCGAAGGCCTCGACGCCCGCGACTTTGACCCCCGCCTGAGAGGTCCCGTTGACGAAAACGTCGAGCTTGCCATCGACCCGGAAACTGGAATGAAGAACTACATTGCCAACGAGCGAGCCGGCATCATGACCTCTGCGAGGCACGTCCGCAACCTGTTTGGTCGATGTATCGAGCTGGGTCGCCGGTACAGGCGCTCGGGCAACAAGCCGGAGCTTTACGAAGCTCTCCGGCTGATGGGAACTGGACTGCACTGCTTGGAAGGTATGCACATGATTCCGTTACATGAGCTCATAAGACGGACACCGCAAAATATCTAACCGGAAGCAGACTTCTTCGCCCACAGCAACTACGTTGAGCTTGCGCTCATTGAAATGGGCGAGCGCAACGTCTTCCCCCACGTCGGCCGCAACACTCAGATTGAGCTGGAAGGTGCTCGTTATCCCGTCTATCCCATTACGACGGGTACCTTCGGAGGTGTAGACTTCCTCCACTCTGTCACCGGTGAAGGTGAGTGCACATTCTCTCCCATGTCTCGTGGCACTCTTTCACTAACAGGCCTTCAGTATCGGACAAGTTGACTCAGAATGAAATTGACGAACTTGAGGGAGCCCTCAACGAAGGCAAGTCCGGCGATACTAGCCTGCTCCAGAACCTGCTCAACAACCTGCCCCCTGGCATCTTGGGCAATAACAACCAGGGAGAAAAGCTTGACGAGATTCAGCACAATGCGGCTGCCGCCCAGGAGGAAACCGAGCCCGTTTCGCCCAGAGATCCCGAAGAGTTCACCATCTACGTCCAGAAGATCTACAAGCAGATCATGCCCGTTATCGAATTCCACGATAGCATCATGAAGAGCATTAGCGGTGCCATTGAAAACATCCCTATCCTTCCCAAGGTCATTGAGCAGTTGGAGGAGCAGCTCTCCATCTTTGTCTTTTCCATCATTGCCCCCTTCATCGTTCCTTTGATTCACCAGATTAGGAACGAGCTGCAGACCGGATCTTCGGAGATCATTGAGAGCAGTAAGAAGGAGCAGCACATTGTCTTTGATGACGACTACTCTTCTGATCCCACTCACTCAATGCTTTCTAAGGATCACTTCTCCAACGTGAGTTGCTCATCCAGAATGCTTCGGCGAGGCTTCACGGGCTAACCTAATTGCAGATCCTGAACGAGATTGCTGGCCGAACTGCCGCCAGGATGCTTCACTGGGTTGTGCCGCAGATCATGGAAGCTTTTGACGACGACTCGGTCGACGTTGATCGCTTGCTGGACCGTATCGTGACCGGTGTCATGCACCATCCCGCCCAGCGCGAAATGGGCTATGACGGTGCTGCCGAGGCGCGACAGCTCATCTTCAACTCTGTTCAAGAGTGGTGGAGTTCCATGAGTGAAGAGCAACAGGAGGACTACCGCCGCAAGCTCTCTCCTCGCGGCGTCATGAACGGCGAAAACCATAAGGAGGGCGTCCACGATACCGGTCACGGTTGCGCAGGCAAGCTGAAGATGCGTAAGGAGTTTGGTGAACCCGAGGGTGTTGAGGACCAGATTGCCGGCGCAGCCGCAAACGCCATTTTCTCAGGAGCCACCGACGCCCTGTCCGGGTTTGTCTCCCAGAATGCTGGAATTGATCTTCCCTCATCTCGACATGAAGAGTCGAGTGGTGGTGATCCTATCAGCGGTCTCATCAGCGGCATGGCTGGCAGCCTGCTGGGAGGGGCCTTTGAAGGCTCAACTAAGAGAGAAACCAGCTACGAGACTGGACAAGATGGCTCTTATACCCAGCGGCAAACTGAATACGGCCAACAGGGAGATAGATACGGCCAGGCCGAGTACAGCCAAACTTACCGCCCCGATGGCGGACGCGAAACCGAATACCGACGCACTGAGCAGCAGCAATCGTACGGCGGAGGCTATGGTGGCTCCAGCTACGAAGAGAGGCGCGAGACTCACGAGAGCTCCTACGGATCGTATGAGCAGCACACCGAACGACGCGAGTATCGCTCCACGGAGGACAGCTACGGAGGCGACTATGGCCAGCGCAGAAGCGATAGCAGAGGATCCAATAAAAGCCGTAAGAAGCACCGCCACAGCCATAGCCATAGTCACAGTCACAGTCACAGCAGTCACAGCCACAGCCACAGCCACAGTCACAAGCACAAGCACAAGCATCATGAGAGTAGCGATTCTGACGATGGATCAGGGAAGGAATACGGGGACCGTGAAGAAAGCAGCCGCCATCATTCGAGCTACGAACGCCGCGACGAAGACAGCTACGGTAGCGGCGGCTACGGACGTCGTGACGAAGACAGCTATGGCAGCGGCGGCTACGGCCGACGCGAGGAGGATAGTTATGGTAGCGGTGGCTACGGACGCCGCGAGGAGGATAACTACGGCAGCAGTGGCTACGGACGCCGCGAGGAGGACAGCTACGGCGGCGAATACGGATCCCGAGAGGAGGGCGGCTACGGCAGACGACACGGCCACCGCCGCGACGACGACGATGAGGCCGAAGACGACGAGTACAGGTCCCGAGATCGCGGCGGCAACAGCGGCGGTTATAGGTTCTAGTCAAATGTCGGTTTGGGAGTGGGCTGGCGGCCATGTGGGAAACTATGTGGCCCTTGATGCAATATAGCAAAGGTGCAAGCTATTTATGTACTAGGCATCCAAGAAAGAGCTCACTGCCCGAGTAGGGAAGGGTTCTAGGTAGTGATGTATACCAATAGAGAACAGGCGATGTCAATTGAAGAAGCTGAAGGTGATTGGGGTTGTGAGAGATTATACAATGTTGCTGAGGAACCTCGAACAGTTCTTGAAAAGGCAGAACAAAGCAGGAAAACGTTGGAATACCCATGGCCGATGTCCTGAACAGGCAACTCTCGCCCGTCCGGATCATGTCTTCCGCCACGGGATACACCGGCACAAGTTGCAGCAGCATCAGCATCGATTTCTATTCATGCATACGTCTTGCGGAGGGGAAGAGCCTGGACTCTCTGTCAAATTTGATGCTAACAGATGAAAGCGTGACAAGGGAAACATACTCACCCACTCTTTTCCCCTCTGTTCTCAGGATCTCTTCGTATTGTTTCCCGTGCATGTATGCGAGTGAGTCGTCTCACTTGTATGAGATCTTCAAACTTTCATTAGACTCTTTGTGTTCCTCTTTTCTTTGTTCGAGTCTGAGAGTGAGTGCGTTTACAAAGAAATGAACATAGGTACCTAGTCTGGCTTGGATGGATTCAAGGTAAGGTAGGTAAGAGATGGATATACTAAGGTACATGCGTTCTGAATTGTTAATGTATTCGGGTATCACCAAGGATTCATGGAGTGGGTAGGTATGTATGAGTAGCATCCGATATCCGTCCAGCTGCTTCTGGCAACCCGGCGGCGCTCCGTGACATTTGACGGGAAAACAGGGCGCTAGGCAAGGAGCCGATGGCAGTGGTTTGAGGGTATGTATGCATGTATGTATGTATGTATGTATGTATGTATGTATGTATGTATGTATGTATGTATGTATGTATGTATGTATGTCGTCGGCAGACGAGCTTTCATGTTGCCATCCAATTCGCCGACGTCTGAACAAAGATGTCGGGACCGGGAGTCTAAGGGATCGCGGCGCTTGTCGCTTGTACACAGGATCCATGACTTGATATACATAACTTAGTGGGTGCTTTGTGTTGCTTCAAAGGTCGAGTACAAGTAGAGCGGAGGCGGGAATGCCCGCACTGCCTGGTGGACTACCTATGTATCATCTAAGAATCGGTCAATTGCCGAGCCGGCCGAGGGTTCGGGCTGAAGTCGAGGCGAAGTCCGTCTCTATCGCCATGTGTGAGCAGCACAATGATGGATATAGTACCGAGACTCAACACGGAGCAGGGACACACGTGCATGCCCACTCGAGAACGGATTCAGGGACCTGATATTGACTCTGCGCTCTTTTTTTTTTGCTCACAGGCATTGTTAGCATGTTTGATGGGAGAGGTGGAGGTACAGGTACAGGCAAAGGGACGGGACCTTGTCAGCTTTGGGCTTTGGGGCCGGACAGGAACGGGCAAGTGACCATTGGAATCATGGGAATCAAGAGACCCGTTGTTGAAGGAGGCCACACAAGTGTTGAAATGCTGCTGGTTTCTGGCCCCCCCGGATCCTGCCAGTGTCATCTCGCCCGCAGCCCTCGATCGCTCCATACGTTCGTTCACCTGGGCTGGGACAGGACAAGGGGGGGGGGGGGGGGCTCTGGCCGACGACGCTGAGCTACATATGGATAGCCGCCAATGAGGTCCAGGATTAGCGCCAGGGCCACGGGGAGAGACTCCGGACTTTGATGTCACCCAGACGGACGGCTGTTGGCAGCTTACAGCATGTATTGCCTGTTGCGAGGAGAGAGTTCATGTTGTCTGTGGTGATGTGGTTTTGGGATTCCGCCAATCTCGCTGATGGGCGAACCCAGATACATACATGTAGAGTAGGCGGGTAAAGTTAACCGCCTGTCGGATTTGAATAAAACATGTCCGGTAAGGTAGGTGTTTTCAAAGTGTCCAATCATCGACCAAACACCGCCTTGGACAGCATTCCTACCTATCGACCGAATTAAACATCCACTCAGGGAAAGCCGAGAATAGAAGAAAAAGGTCTGCCTGCCGGGGTGGCTCGCAATTGCAGCGGTAGGTACGAGTATTATGTATCGGCCGGGATGGCGGCCCTCTGCAGCTGTGATCGCCACGACTAGCGATGCCTCCAAGCACCCGCACATGCATACACGAAAAGGGCGCTTGGCGGATTCTCCTCTGAACGACATCACCATCCTGTTGGTACTTTGCCTGATCTGGTCTCCCTCCGTGGTGCTACAGAGATGGCTGCCATGCTAATAATGGTCTGTGGGAGCAGGTTTTGGAGACGTGCCCCATCAAAGAATCTTTCCATGCTTACATACCTACTGTAGGTAGCTGCTATCTACGATACCAACCTCTACTTCGACCTCTGCGCCGCGCGAGTATAAAGCACCCGTGGACGGCATAGCACGGGCACTGGTAGCAGTACGCAAGGTACTAATGGCCCTGGTATTGATGTTGGCTCTATGTATCATGTCGAACGGCATTGCTAGGTACCTCCCCATCAATGCTGCTGGCAGCTCAGCGTCTGCCCCGGGCAAGCAGAGGCAGGTTGTACAGAGAAAGAGAAGCTCAGCCAAGCTTGCGCCATGTCTTGGATTGGACGGGTTTGACTGATTGGCGACTGTCAAGGCCAGATTGCCCGTAACGCCTTGGGGTCGTCGTGGGTGGTGTTTTTCTCGCCATGTCACGACAGGTTCCTGAGAGCACATGTCACGACAGGTTCCTGAGAGCACAGCCATTCTCGTTCATCTTCAAAGTTGTTATTGAAAGCAGAGACATACACACACTCACACACACTCACACACACTCACACACTCACACACACTCACACACACTCACACACTCACACACTCACACACACACACACCTGCACAGCAGACACGCCACTTTTTGGTGTCTGCTTCTGCTTCTGTTCCGACTTACCGTCCAGCCGCCCCGCCTGCCTCCACCACGACGCAGGTTGGGCGTCCAGTGTCAAGGCCTGTGGCCCTTGTGCAGACAGGTGATGGTCAGGTAGCGGTACAAGGCAGCCCCACGGCCTAGCACGCCCCCAGCACACGTCGATAGCGCCTCCACAGCGCCTCCAGCACGGGGTAGTGGTGGGCTGGCAGCCTGGCAAAGCCTGGGCTCCCTTGGGACACCGGGAGTTACCTACTGCACGTTCAGCCGCCCCAGCCAGTGGCCTCTCCAGCGCTGCTGCCCGCTGGACGGCTGCCCGGACTACGGGTTTAGCGCTGGCCCCTGGACTCCGCCCGGCTGCGGCGGTACCGGTACTTTGCGCCGAGCTGCAACGTCGCTGGCCATCAATCCCTGCTGTGCCGTCGACGCCTTTTTTTTTTTCCTCATCCTGATCTCGACTCGCCCGGCGGCCCCCCTACGCCAATTTGCTTCCTCCAAACCACGCTCGCGCGCTCCCCTCGACTTTGTCTGTCGAACAGCCTCCCCCCTTCGCGGCCGCCTCGCCTCGCCCTCGCCCTCGTCCCGGCTCCTCTGTCTTGTCCTCTCGCCGTCGCACCGCCGGTGCCGCGCAGACCATGACTGCCGCCTCCCGCCTCGCCAGCAATATGTGTTAGAAGAATGTGTGAGTTCTGCTCTGCTCTGCTCTGCTCGCGCTCGCGGCCGCTGCCCTTTCAGCTGTTGCTGCTCCGTCGACACACTTGTGCAGCGGCCAAGACTGCCCCTACGTGACCCCAGTCTTGGCGGCCGGCAAACTGACGTCTCACAGCGCTCTCCGAGATTCGAAATGTCGTGTATGTCCATGCCCGCCAACGAGATGCTCTGCTTCGTTCTTTGATGCCCTTTTTGACGCCGTCGCCTGCTCTTCGCCTTGCTCTTCTTCCGTCGTCACCGCCCTCGTCGCCCTCATTGCGCCCTGGCGGGTGCAATCGCCATCGTCGCCCGCTTCGGCCTTTGAACCCTCCAGCCCTCTCCGCTTTGTCTGCTTCTCTCCGCCATGACCGGCTTCCCTCTCCTCATTGAAGCGGCAGTGCCGTAATCCATGTCGCTTCCCTCGTGGCATCTCACCACTACTATTCTTTCCTCTCACCAGCCATTTCTTCATCTTCGTCTTCCTCGCCCTCACCCTCACCCTCAATCTCCGCCGCCCTCTGCCGCAACCAGCTGCCCTCCGCCTACTGACTCTCCACCACTAGGCTTCTCTTCAGTAATCCCGTCTGGAATGGCGCCAAAACGGTGCCCACCACCATCATCAGGAACATCACAGCACTCTCCGTGCGTCCCATCCCAAACCCCTCGTCCTCTCCTCCCGCCTAACTGCCAGCTGACGTGACTGGGTCCGACAGAGTCAGATAGCATACGAAGAGCGCATCGACAGCAACATCACCACCCTGACCACCACCAACGCCGACACACTCAATGGACTCATTCAGGGTTTGTTATACGTTCCCGACATCAGCCGAATGCCGTCTTGTGATACCCAGCAGTACGACTTCATTCCCAGAAACGTCACCCGCCGCGCCAACCTCCCTCCGACCAACTATAATCTCATCGCCCTTGCCCCTTGGTTCAGCATCGACTGCACTCAGGCCTATCTCGCTGCCGCCCGCGCCGATCCCATCCGCGCTTTCGTCTTTTACAAGCCGAACAACTCCTCCAACAAACCCCAGGATGTCAACTCCCCCGTCTGGAACCTCGACGACGATGGCGCTTGGAAAGACCAGAACCAGTATCCCGTCTTCGCCGTCTCGGGACTCGAGGGCCAGAAGATGATGACCCAGCTCAGCCTGTATTCGGGAACCGTCGAGCAGATTCCTCACGGCCAGGAGATTTCGCAACTCTACGGCCCCAACCCGAAGGACTACGTCCGAATATGGACCGAGTTGAACATGAAGAATCCAACCAACATCCCGGCCCTGTGGATATTCTTCCTCATCGTCATTGGCGCCTTGCTCTTCATCATCGGTGGAATCTCAATCACCATGCATCTAGTCCAGAGGCGGCGGCGCATCTCTCTCAGGCGTCGCGTCATGTCCGGCGAGGTCGATCTGGAGGCCATGGGCATCAAGAGACTCACCGTACCGTCGACATTTGTTCAGGGATTCCCGCTCTTCACCTACAACCAGGATCCGGACCAGCTCAGTGGTCAGTCGACTCCCTCTTCTCCGACAGTGCGTGGAGCCTCTCGAAGTGGGAAATCCTCCAGGAGGCACCATCGACGTGATCGAAGTGCCCAGAGCGATATCATATCACCTAGTGAGCGCAGCATCCGCAGCACACGGAGTGTGCGGAGTAAGAGGTCAAGCATCACAGGGTCCGACACCACCGCCACCAACTTCCAGCCTCGATGCCACATCTGCCTCGATCGCTTCGAACATCGCGTCACCGTCATCAAGGAACTGCCCTGTGGCCACATTTTCCATCCAGACTGTATAGACGAGTTTCTTCTCGAAAACAGCTCGCTGTGTCCGATGTGCAAACATTGCATGTTGCCCCGTGGCTACTGCCCCCCCATCACCAACGGAATGGTCCGTCGCGAACGCGCTCTACGGAAACTCCGAGGCAGGGTAGATTTGGACTTTTCTTCTCTGGAGTCTGGCGAGAGCAAGCTCAAAGGCTGGGGCAAGAAGATTTTCCATCCGGGAAGCCATGCAGCTTCGCCTGATGTTCCATTGACGCCAGTCAAGGTCAACAAGCCAAGCAAAGATGCCAGTGGGAAGAAGGCGTCAACGACATCTTCTGAGCAGACTGTCGCGGAAACAGAAATCAGAGAAGCATCGCCAACGACGCCGTCCGGAACAACAACGCTCATGGATGTATCCGAATCGGAAGAGGATGCCATGGGAGAGACGCCAGCCGTGGTAACGCAACCCCCGGCGCCGACAACACGAGCCAAGACTCGAAAGCCTCAACCGCGTGCTCTGAGGTTGCTGCCCACGGCTCCTGAGGGCGTCGAATTGGTAATGGCACATCCTGCAGGTGGCCATAGCCCTTCGTCGTTTGCCCGAGAGCGTATGCGGGAAATTGCGAGCCAAAACGCGCCTTTTGACGATCCGGACCTGAAACGTCCCAAATGTGAGTTTGCTTATCCTTTTCCTTGTTATTCTTCTTTTTTTTTCTCCCTCCCTAAGCTTGGGCTAACGTTAATCCTCAAGGGCGACGTGTTGTCTCGAGCGTGTTTCCTGGATTCATATGACCTGTACTTCGCTTGCTGCCTCTCCCTGATGACACTATTTGACTGCTTTAAGATATAGCATGGCGTCGGCGTTCTGCTTCTCTTTGGATGGTTGCTTGCTTCTGCCACCCTTTCTGGCTTTCTTGTTTTCTTTTTTTCTTGGGCGTGTTGGAACAACATACGTTGATGATCCCGCTGCGTTTCCGCTTCACGACAACGACCCTCAAAGCTCCCTCGTCGCCTTGGACGATTGACCCCCCATTGTGAAGAGGAGACGGATGATACGACTGTTCTACGAGCAATAGGCTGGCGGGGCGACGCTTACCGATTTACGATGCTACGCACTCTTCACCTAAATTTCTTCAGCTTGAAGAAAACGAGCGATATAGAGAGGGCTTGGGGCACCTACGACTACTACCATGTTTGTAATGGCGGGGCCCTCCCAGGAAGGATAGGTGGCGTTTGGGGCGGGCGTATTCTTTCTGTATTCCTATCAGGGATGTTTCTGTCTCAATGTGTCGTGTTGGCTCAATGGCTAACCACTTTGCACAACGGGAAGGAAAAAGGCGACACATTTTGGGGCAGATCCGGACGGGTTTGATGTTTTGTCATGTACTTATGCGAGGTTCAAGGGCTGTGTCGGTGCAGTCTTGGGTACCTTTTTCACTCCAGAAGAGAGTAAAATACTATGATGATGACCACGCCGCTGTCTTAAGCCAAGGAATATTTGGGACAAGTGCGAGAGTGAGTTTGGTTTTGTGGACGTTGCAGTAGACAAAAGACAGGAATTTCATCTTGGCCTGTCTGAATCCTGATCCATGAACGAGCAACTCAACTGCCGAGGGGAAAAGAGCGGAAAGTGAAAAAAAGTGTTTTGATTCATCCATTCCACCTCTCGTACTCTTGATTGAGGATTCAATGCCTTGTTCGTTCTAATTATACAAGCGCGAAAGATGAAAAAACCTGGTTCTCCTTTAAAAACAAGGAACGCCTCCTTCGCGGACGGGGGTATATAGCATGCATACTCTCCTCCCTCGATCAATGCCCCTGATGAGCCTTTCCGCTCACCTCGACATATACAGATGTGGAATCAAGGCGGACGGGTAGGGGTACGAGCGGTATTCGGCTTGGTCTGCTGCTGCTGCTGATTCCTTTGATTTCCACAGCGTGACAGGTTCAAGGGCGGGGGCCACGAGCTTTTGGGGAGGGGTGTCCCGTTTCTTCGCTTTGTTTGTTGGAAGACAAAACGAAAAGAAAGGGAATCTAATGCTTTAGGCCTCATGTCTTTCAGAATGGCTGGAACTTCGACCCTCCCATGTGACAAGATTCGTGGAAGCCCCAGAGGTAGAGAGGAATTTTGCGTTGAAGAGGGGGGACGCAATGCTGCATCCTTTATACGCCTAGCTTAGGCGAGCGCTGAGGCTTCACGCACCCTCCTCCATCTTCGACGCATCTTTATCCGCATCTTCATCTTTGACGTCGGCCTCTTTGCCATCCTCGCCCTTTACATCCTCTTCTTCTTCTTCTTCTTCTTCGGGATCCGGTGTTGCAGATGACATCCTGGTGTCCCCGTCGTCAGTCGTATTCTCCTTGACCTTCTTGGCCACGACATCCTCCTCGAGGTCATCTTCCGCTTCGCGCTTTGAGGCAACGCTCTCGGCGCTGGGACTTTTGGACCGCTCAAACCGGGGCTTGCCGTCCGCGCCCCGATCCCCGGGCGTGGAAGACGTTTCGACCGCTCCGGCCTTTTCGTGGGCGTGTTTCCGGCCAACCGCGGCCTCGAGGTCGATCCCCTGCATCTCGATGCCATCTTCGCCCACGAGGCTCGTCGTCTCCGACTGAGGGCCCGTGTCACCAATACCAATCTCATCCGGTCCCCTCACATGCGGCGCCTCCTCTTCTTCCTCTTCTTCTTCTTCTTCTTCCTCCTCCTCTCCCTCTTCGTCATCTTCCTCATCACCCATCGGATGGTCTTCTGACGGGGCCGCAGCCGGACGGCCGCCCTCGCCCATCATGTCGTGCCCCTTGGTGAGCTGGCTGACGGGGACGATGCCGGCCCTCTGCTCCTGCCTAAGCAGCTCGCCTTGCGTGACGCCCCTGGAGGCCCCCATGGACGGCACGCCGTTGATGCTGACGGAGACGGTCTCGATGCTGCCCACGCCATTGGGCCCGTCAATCGTCTCGGTGCTTTCGCTGTGGATCTGCGCACCGGCCGGCGCCACCGCCTCGCTGACGCTCTCCGGCGGCGTGCTCCTCCTGATCAGCCAGGGGATGGGCGTCAGCAGCGCTCCTCCCAGGGCTTCGTCCGAGCCCACCGCCACCGCGGCAGGGTTGCTCCACGACACGGCCATGGCGGGGTCGTTGGGCTCGTCTCCGTTGAGCTGGATCGAGGACATGTCCGGGATCGGCGGCGGCAGCGGATAGGTATCCGTGCCCGACGTCACGGCCGCGACCCGGTCCAGGGCGTGCAGGTACGACGCCAGCGCCTTGTAGTGCGCGCGCGGGCGCAGGATCAGCTCGGCGATCCTCTGGATCGTGTGTGGCGGGTACGACTTGAAGCTGGCGATGTGGCTCTTGATCTCGTCGACCATTTCCGCAAGCTGCTTCGGCAGCGCGCCGGGCTCTTTGGTCTGCTGCTGCTGCTGCTGCGACGACGAGGAGGCTTGCTGCTGCTGATGTGGCGGTGACGACCGCGGCTGGGATGTCGCGCCTGGCGCAGGCTGGTCTTGTGCGGGCGCATTCTCCTTGTTGGCGTCGTCGGCGAACTGCTCGGCTGGCGATGAAGACGGCGGGGAGATGGGTCGTCGTGTGTCCGGATACCGCGAGCGCGGCACGGGGGGCGGCAGCTTGGGGATGGGAAACTCGTTGTGGACGATCTGCAAGTACCCCGAGACGATGTCTCGTCAGCAATCTTCCTCTCGCGTTTCGACTGGCTGCATGAAGCTTCTCCCGCCGCCGTAGATGCTTCCGCGACAGCGCTGGGAGAACAGACAGACAGATACGCACCTTGTCTAGGCGCGCAAGGATCTCGTCGCGCAGGGCTGGCCAGGCCTCTCTGCAAGCAGACGAAGCAATCATCAGAAGTCAGCAAGGCTTTCCGGCTAAGGATAGACAAAAGGCAGAAAGAGGATCAAAGTATGAGCCCACGTACGAAGCCACGAGCTCTCCGGCGGCGGTCCTGCCAAGCAAGTCATTGTCGCTGTCCACTTCCATGGGCAAGAAAAAAAGGAATTCGTGCGTGAGTGGTGATGGGTATCAAGAGATGTTCTATGCCACACCAGTCGAAGGCGTTTTGGCTGCAGCTGATGAGAGGCGCCTACCCAGTTAAACTACCTTAGGTATTGACTTGGTGGGGTTTGCAGCAAAGCGAGACTACAATGATGGCTAAGTGCATATATATGATGTGAACATGTTCAACCAGCGTGGAAACAACCAAGCAGTCATTCACATACAAGGTATCTGCTCGAGACTCGTCGCATCGTAGGTAACAGGAGCATTCCACCCTTCTTCTGTTTCTTTAGACCATATCACAGCTAGTCACTGGAATCATATGCTCGTCTAGCCCCTATTGAGACAAACACTCGAGGGTAAAAACCTCGTCAAACAAGGAGTTTATTACCAACGTCAGCACGCTATTAAGAGCTGATACTCCTCAGCTTTCATCGAATACCATCCAACGCTCAACCAAACTGATCCATAAAGCATAGCACAGATCCCAACGAGCCTAGCACCACTCATCAAGCGCTCTCCAGCCTACAAACTCGTTCTCTCAAAGATCAAACCTGGCCTCGCTGTACAGCCACTTGGCCGGGTCAAACACCACCTCAAAGCTCGTCGCGTCAAACGTGCCAATGGCGCAGCTCAAGTCGTGAAAGCCCTCCAGGCCCGTCACGGGCAAATCTTGCTCGGCGTCCGTCTCCTCGTGGAGATGCCAGCCGCCAACCCGCCTGCCGTTCCTCGTGAAGAAAATGTCGACGCGAGGCTTGTGCGAGCCCGTTGGGGCAAAGGTCATGCCAATGCCGTACGTCTCGCCCTTGCGGTACTCGTCGGTAAAGTCTTTGCCTCCCCATCGGTCGTTGATGTACTTGTGACCGTCGTCTCCATGGACACCCAGGCTACCGCGATGCCATCCTGGAAGGCGGAATGACGGATAGGGAAGGGCCGTGAAGCCCAAGGCCAGATTGATGGTGCGGCTGTCGCGGCGAATCTTGACCTCGTAGTAGATGGTCTTTGGCTGGTTCGACACCGTCGGGTCGTGCTCGCGGACCACGTAGAGAGGAGGGTAGCCGATGATGCATCGATCGGGGCTGTTCTTGGCCGTCTGGCCCTCCCAATGACCAGGCCCAAGCCACTTGAGGGTTCCGTTGAAGCCCGCTGGCTCCATGAGCCGGATGTTGTTGGACTGGAGAGCCGCCCTGCCTGGCTCGTCGAGAACCATGGGCGGGACGAGAGGAAACTGCCGGCACCACGCCTCGCCGGCCTCTGCCTCTTCCTCGGTCGCGTTGTTGGCTGGCGACCTGTCATAGCCACTGAATATCAGAGGCGGCGGCGGGAAGAGAGAAGTATCCGGCACGGCAGACTGCCAATCGTGCGCCGCGGAAGACTGAGAAGCATGGGCATTCGACGGAGGGGCTGTCCAGTCAGCCTTGCCGGCAGACGGCGGAGGTCCTGGCGGCGGCGCATAGTCTTCCTTTTGGTGAGAGGGAGGCGGTCCTGGCGGCGGCGCGTAGTCTCCCTTTTGATGAGAGGGAGGCGGTCCAGGAGGAGGAGCATAGTCATTCTGCAAGTGTGACGGCGGCGGCCCCGGCGGAGGAGCATAATCAGCTTGGTGCTGCTGACGCCCCGGCGGCGGTCCAGCAGGCGGCGCGTAGTCTTGTTCCTGTCGCTTGCCGGGAGGCGGGCCAGGAGGAGGCGCGTAGTCGTCGAACGTCGGCTGCTGCTGCTGCTGCTGTGCCTGGTAGGTCTGATGGTGCTGCTGTCCCTGGCCTTGATACAGCTGGTGCTGCTGCCCTTGCTGGCCGTGGTATGACTGCTGCTGCTGCTGGTGCTGCTGCTGCTGTCCCTGACTCAAGCCCTGCGACCCCAAAGGCCCTCCTCCCACGGCGGCACTCCCCTGCGTGCCATACCGCCCCGACGACTTCCCATCGCCGCCCTGCGCCGGCCTCGGCGGGGGATCATCGCTCCTCTCGTTCCGGCCGCCAAAACACATTGCGCCTTTCCAATGTTCTAGTCCCCGTTGTGTGGCCGCTCAAGCGCCTGTTCAAAAGTGTGTGAGCGTGTGCGAGCGCGCGTGAATGTACGGGCGTATCTCTTGTTGTCCTCAATGGCAGTAGTAGAGGGCAAGAAAAGGGCACTTTCGTTCACAGCTTTCCTTGATCTCACTATGCGGTGCGGAAAGAATAACTAACGTGTAAGAGGATGAAATGGAGAGAATGGACTTGTTAGAGGAGGATTTGAGTGTGAAAGGAACAGAGAGAGCCGTCTGTGTGTGTTTATCTATAAGAACAGAACCAAGCCGAACAAAGAAATCGAGACGCGGTAAGGGTATCTAGGTAGGTTAATACCTTAAGTACCTAAGGTATGAAGAAGGGAAACGGTTCCAAGAGTAAGCGGAGAGGCTTTGCGTTTAAGTTGCCAGTGACGTTTTTGTCACTCCTTGTGGCTGTGCAAAGCCCGTGTCTTGTCCCTTTTTCTTTGCCTTCCAAATCTTGTTAGCAGCTCAATAGCATCAGCTTCTACTAGCAGTGCGCTAATGCTGCTGCTTAAATAGTGGGCTTGAGCATTCAAATTGGATTGGAGTGGAAAGTGGGTGGCGTTGCGGGCGGGGAATCTCGCCGCAGTTGGAGAAGTCCTGGAGTTTGGCGCAACACGCAAAAAAAGAGCAGAAAAAGGAGGCACAAACACGCTCGGCTGTCCGTCAGATGACGCCGGACTGAGGCCTCGGACAATGCAAATGCGCTTGCACAGCCCGCCAAGTCCACCCGAGATTTATCAAAGACTTCACGAGGCGCAAGAGGTTCTTGTTTTACAAATACGCACACAGAAACCACGTCATACACCAGCGAATATCAATTTGTATTGGAGTGGCCAAAGCACTCGACGCCGCTTCGTGCCGTGAGAAACCATGCAGAGACATACCATACCTAAATGTCGCGCTAGACTCGGCCAATATTACCATCAGCCTCCCAACAAACCATTCATTACCATCTCATTACCATCTTCATCCCAGTCCAAAACGTAAACAGACTGACTTTCCACCCTCTCCCATGCGCGCAACGATCAACTACCCCACGAACTGGCGTCGGCTTCGTCAGGATAAAAGAAGGCGACCACGCCAATGATGCAGTACACTGCACACAGCAGAGCTCCCTCGAGGTAGTTGCTCCGGCCGTCCAGGACCAGAAAGTTGACCATGAACGTGGACACAAACAGGCACACCGTCTCAAAGAGCGTAAAGTACAGCGTCATCTCCTTGTCCATGATCCAGCCCAGGATGACAACCAGCGGCGTGACAAAGATGGCAATCTGGATGGAGCTGCCAATAGCAACGCCAATCGCGAGATCCATCTTGTTCTTCATCGCCACGGTTACGGCCGTGACGTGCTCCGCCGCATTGCCCACAATGGGCAGGACAATGAGACCGATGAAGATCTCGCCGACGCTCGACGTGGCGACGACGTCTTGGATAGAGCCAATCAGAAACTCGGCACATGCCGCGACAAGGCCAGTCGTCAAAAGCAAGAGGATAACGGCTGCCGACTGCGTCAGGTGCTCGCCCTCCTCTTCCTCATCGAGGCCACTCGCCGTCAAGGCGACCAGTGGCACCTGAGCCGGGAAGAGGGCACCGGGGGGTCGCATCTGATGGTTCAACCTGTCGGGAAGAGAGTTGGTGCGTCGAATGCCATAGCGGACGCGTGGAACCGGACCCGCGGCCATGGAAGCCAATACATCGGGCTTCTGGGCAAAGACTGGGGGCGCCAGGTTCTTGACAGACATGGATCGTAGGCCAGGGAATGGCCGCTTGGACGTTTCGTTGCCGCTATCCGCAGTTGGCGCGTTCTGAATGGCAAAGTCGACGCGGCGAGGCTCTCCGTCCCCGTCGCGAGTCTGAGACTGCTCGGGCTGCTCGCTGATTGCCTGCTGAGCGTCGCCGTCGGCATCACGATGGCGGTGGTGACGGCGATGCTTCTTGTACTTCTTGCGCATCTGCCGGATGCTGGATCGCCTGTGCTTGTGATGCGACCTCTCTTCGTCCTCGACAGCCTCTTCGTTCGTTTCCACAGACGACAACCTAGGAAACTGCGGGCGCGAGGTAGAAGCTTCAGAAGACTCTTCCTGGGGACTGGTGGTTGTGGTGCCAAAAGACGATGTCCTAGTAGGCTGGAGGTCACCAGTCTCGACAGACGCCACGGACGACTTTCTCCTGCGCCCATGGCGAAGGACCTTTCTCATCGCGCGGCGAACTGTATCCCGCGAATGACTCGAGTCGTCAGAGTCGGAGCTTTCAGACGAGCTGGAATCGGAGCTGGAAGTCTCCAGCCAGGCAGCGGCGGGGCCAGGAACGGATTCGGCATCGACGATATTTTGCGGAGTGGACTCGTACAGATATGCGTGCGACTTGAGCTGGAACATGAGATATATGACATATACCAGTAATAGAATCTACCAATTTGTTAGACGGTGACGGATGCAATGGATCAGGCAAGAAAACTTACAACGCTAGTGCCGCGACTGATCTTGAGCGACTCGTGGTCAGCCAGATTGGGGTCGCTGAAGGAGGCGTGAAATGCCGTCTGATAGCCCAGTTAGCCGAACAGTTCAAACAAGCAGAGAAGCAGCGGGATTATGGACATACGGGCAAAACCAGACTGATGACACTCAAACTAAGAAGACAGGCGCTCATCTGCGTCACGGTGCTGTTGTAGACCTGCTCCCGGAAGCGCAGACCACCGAGGAAGAAGCCCATTCCCAAAATGAGAAGCAGATTGGCCAGGATGGAACCCAGCAGAGACGCTTGGACGATACGAATCTCATTCTTGACCAGGGCAATGATGAAGATGATCAATTCCACGGCGTTACCAAACGTCACGTTGAGCAGGGCGCCAAGGGCGTCGCCCATCTTGAGGGCCACCGACTCGGTCGCGAAGCTGAGGAGGCCGGCGAGGGGGATCACGGCAATGCAGTTCATAGCGAAGACGATGCCGCTGTTGACGTTGCCAACATTGGCGACGACGATGCCGACGGGCACAAAGACCAACAGGACATTGAACCAGCTGTGGGTGAGGACCAGCCAGAAGCTCCTGCGAAACTCCTGGACAAAGGTGCGCTTCTTCTTCTTGTCGCCGTTGTCATTGTCGGTTCCGTTGCCGGTTCCCGCCGTCTCGGGGGCAGAGGTATTTGCGAGGGCCTCCTTCGTCCCTACGATAGGCCCCTGCCTCTCATCCTGCGCGGATGGCGCTGACGCGCGCTTCTTGGCGAATGCGGACTTGAGCGAGCGGCGGCCAGGCTTTTCGTCGGCGCTGGGAGCATCGGTGCTGCGAGCGCCATTGCGGCTGTTGGTCTGGTCGTTTGGAGTGGCTTTGGCGGTGGTGGTGGTGGTGGTGGTGGTGGTTGTGGAGGTGGTAGAAGTAGTTGCGGCGGCGCGCTCGTGCTTGTTCAAGGGCGGCAGGTCGCGAAGCTCAGTATCCGGCCGATCGGAGAGTCCATTCGCTCGGGCAGCTATATCGGGGTCTGTTGAGGCTTTCTTCATCGAACAGGTGTTGGAGAGCAGTGGGCGCGAGACGGTACGAGCAACAGCAGCAGCTACCTAGATAAGCAAATGCAGAGACAAGTGTGCTGAGATTCAGACGAGTGATGAATATCACAGAAATGATGGTGTCGAGAAGAAAGAGGGGGGAAATAAGATCCCGGAATGGAAATGGGAGGAAGAGGGTATCCAAAGGTCGGGCGAGAGGGCCCCCCCTATTCTACCTGTGCAAATGATCTATAGTAACTGTGTGGATCACACTAAAGTCGTTAGTTTGCGATAGCGCCGCGCTAACTAAAAGGTATATAGATTTATATAGGAATTGCTAGTAAATAGAGGTACCCCTGTGTGGCACTTTTTAGTAGAGGAACAGACAATAATAAAGATAACCAGGCATAGGCAAAAACACTATAGTAAAACACTATAACATGCGTTCACAAAACGTTTATTAACATTAATAATATTTATATCCGCTAAAATATTACTGCAGCCACCTCTAATTTTAAAGTTATTTATATTAGTAAATGCAGCTTTTAAAGCTTTTTAATCTTATACGTAAGATAAGGGTTATGCCCTAGTTAAAACATAACTATTAAACTATTAAAATAACTAACTGCGTTATTATAATATTGCTTATGTTTATAGAAATAGCATATACTAGTTTAAGTCTGCTAGACTGTATAAATTAACTATAAAATACACTAACTGTCTATTTAAGATAAAGATAGTCTAGAGGAAGGATATAAATAATCTCTAGGTTTTAAGGATCCTTTATAGCAGCTATAATTATAACTTTAATCTAGTAATTAGTTTTCCTAAGCATTAATGCGCAGCCTTAATTAAAGACTAGAAGAATACTATTATAACCTTTTTAAATTATTTAAATCTTATAGCTAGGGTAATTAATAAGACTGTTAAGCTTTAATATCTTAATATCTTTCTTATAAAGAAGGACATCTCTAACATATGCTAGGAATTTATTAATAATATATACTAGGGCTAAATATTAACCTAGGCTGTAATTACTGCCTTTTACGCTAAGGAATATTATTATAGACTTAAGCTTAATCTTAAGGATTATTTATAATATCTGCTAGTCCTTATAGATTGCAATCTTAAGCTTTAGTATTATTATTTAAACCTGATAATACTTAATATTATATATAATACTAACCGCTATAACCTAAAGCTTTTAGAGATTAATAGTATTATAGCTCTAGGCATAATCTTCCTTTTAGTGTTTATTATTTTACTAAAGGAGGATACTAAGCTATTTAAGTAGACTTTAAAGAAGCTATATAAGATATTCTATTAGTATGCTTCTTAATATAGCTTTACAGCTAATGCCTTTAATCCTCTTATTATTATCTTAGATTTTAATGCTATAATAAAGGCCAGTCTTTAAATATATTTCTTATAGGCGTAGCAGCAGCTTTATATATAGCATATAAGAAAGAATATTATTAAAAGAGTTAAAATGTAATAGGTAGCTAATAATAATAAGCTCTTAGCCTTTAATAAAGAAAGCTACTGCTAAGAGTAATAAAATAACTTCCTAAAGTCTTAGAAAGATCTCCTTTACGCTTTAATATAGGAAGCTTTTAATCTTAACTAGCATAAGCTTTAAGCTGACTATTAGTAGCAGGAAGACCTTATTTCCTATATTAAAAAAACCTATATTACTATATAGTAATAGTAGGCTTTAGCATAGACTAAGATATACTGTAATTTTAGGTATATAATAACATTACCCTATAAGGCATAGTACTTAAGCTCTTAAACATTCCTTTATAATAGAAATTGCTTTATTTATAATTTAATTAAATCCCTTATCTAGTAGAGGAAGATTGCTGTTAATAACTATAAGGCCTAGGTTAGCTGTAAGACTTACTGTAATTAAGATTCCTATTAATTTAGCCTTTATAACTTAGCTATTAAGAAAGTCTTATATAAAAGCTTATAAATAGTCTAGGATTAGTATAATTTAGTAAAGGCAGCGCTGTTATATAGTTAAGTATTTAATTAGCTATTAGGGAGCTGCTTTAGCTTATTTTTATTATAATTTAGACTTCCTTATTATTATATTATTACTAACTATTTTAAGCTTTAAGTTAAAGGGACTTGCTGCTAGGTAAAAGTAGCGAGACTACTTAAGCTTAGTTTTTAGGACTAGTAGTGGCTGCTTTATAAGGATTTAGTATATATATTAATCTCCTTATTTAAAGTATAATTTTTATAAAAATCTAGCTTAAGACTAACCTGATTTAAAGAATCTAAGACCCTTAAGTAATGCCTTGCTAGCAGTAACCTTAAAACACTAGAATCCCGCTCTTAATTAATCTATAAGATAGTTAAAAGGTATAGCAGCCTAAGGCGCTGTTAGCAGTACTATTAGAGGCACAGCAACCTATAACAGCAGCACTATTAGCAGCATAGTAACCTAAGGCACTGTTAATAGCATTATAACTGCTGCTATACTTATAAGCATCTGCATAAGCCTGGAGGCATAAGGAAGCTTTTTAAAATGCCCTAGCTGCCTATATGCCTATGCTTTTATGCAAGACCTTGGCTGCCTTAATAAGTGCAGCAGCACAGCCGGCTATAACGCTAATACTATAGGCTGCGCCTATAATCCTTTAGGATGCTGTATTTCTATGCATAAATATTTAAAATTAGATAATTTAGCGCTCTGCAGCTAATTAGTTATCCTTAAGGAGGATTCCCTTATAATTTAAGCTGGTTAACCCTCTTATAGGACCTAGGGCTGGCCCTTAGTCTAGATATGTTAATTGGCTGCGTTTTTTTAAGCAGCTGGGCTTGTGGCTGCCTATCTTAATTAGCCTTAACTTTATAAAAGGAGGCTATTTAGGCCTGCTTATTTTAACTCCTTAAGAGCAGCTAGGCATTTAAATTTAACAGTAAAATGCTATATAAATTCTAAATAGTATAGGGCTATTAATAAGGCAAGCTTAGCAGCAGCAGCAGCAGTTATAATTGCCTACTATAGGCAGCCTTTAGCTATATAAGCAATGCCTCTAATTCTAGCTTTTTAAATAGCTTTATTTAATTAATTAACATACCTTTTATAGTATCTCTGCTTTTATGCTGTTCCTTTACTAAAAAGTGCTATATGGGGGTACCTCTATTTACTAGCGATTCCTATATAAATCTATATACCTTTTAGTTAGCGCGGTGCTATTATAAACTAATGACTTTAGTGTAATCCACACAGTTACTATAGATTATTTATATAGGCAAAATAGGGGAGGCCGGGCGAGAGAAGGCGGGAAGCAGAATCCCTTTTTAAGCTGGAAAGAGGCGGGCTGTGGCTGATGGGGAATGTGGATGACGCTGAGCGGACAGGGGGAGGCGCCACGCCTTTGATAAGCTGTGCGCTAGATCATGTACCTTGTGTACTTGTCCTCAACTTGAAGTTGATCTTTTGAGCACCGAGCACGCGCTCAAATGCCAAAGTCCGAGAAGAGGCAGCCCTTACTTGATACCTACTAGTACTAGTATTATCAGAGAATAATTCACCCTTATTTGTCTCTCAATGGCTATGCCACATACTACCTTTCAATCCCGGCTCCGAAGTCAGTAAACCATAGGTACCTACCCACCCTCAGGCACTTGGGCCACCAAGGTACATGCGCAGCACGCCAAGAAAACCCAGCCCGTTCAAAGTCTAGCGCATGATTCACCGTGGGGGAAGCAAGGCGGTGGCCTCGCACCGCCCAATCAGAGCCCCCACCTCGGTGCTGCAACGACATCATCGCCAGGGGCCCCGCCGAAATGCGCGCTAGCTGCGGTCAAGGCCAACCGAGCATCTGGATGGCATTTTGAGCTGCCTTTTCTTGTCTGTCCCTGATTGACCAAGCAGTCAATCAGCTCTCACAAAACGTCATTCTTCCTCTCAATTGACGGCTTTTCATCACTCAAGAGTCGCAGAATCAAGATCATGACTGATGCACACATTCTGCGCGTTCCCTTCTCCCCCCTCCCTTGTGCGAGTCCACCGAGCCGATTCCCGAGACTCGCCAACCCCAAGGCCAGACAGGGTCCGAGACATGGCAGTCTAGAGCAACACCGCCAGCATGCCATTGAATTCACAGCATAATCACTTTTTTATTTCTTTTCCAACAGGCTCATTCAGCCTCTGCAATCATCAAAGTATCGGATAACAACATGACCAAATAACACCTTTCCCGAATCCATTGGAACCTTCCAATTCATGTTTGCCCTCTCAACAACCAGCATCAGCCCATATCCCCACACTTTTCAAGCGCGGTCCTTCAAGGCTGGTCCCCTGAAATGACAAACCAAGACAACCACCACCATCAGAAGAAGTTCCCGTCTCCATATGTACCTTCTCCATAGGTATGCATCCTTCCACCTCAAATTCGTCCACCCGGACAATTTCCCTCCCACATCCATCGGACCAAATTCACCGAAATCGCCGCCTCGGCATAAAGAAAAGACACACGGGAAATCCAAGCCAGGAAATTCCATTCGAAGCCAAAAACAAAAACCACGTGCCCCCCGGCAATAACAGCTCCCCAAATGCTTCAAACCACCCCCACACATACATCAGCCTAGACCCCTTGCTTCGCCACACTCTACGCCGTAACGAACCTAGAAGGCAAAGCATCAGCCACACCGCTCCATGAACTCCAGCTAACGGTTGTACGCGTAAAAGAAGCCTGTAAAACAAACCGCAGCAAACATGACGTTTTTTTCGATCCAGTCGCTCCAGGTGAGGCAACGAGCAAATCTCTCAGTGCATCCATCATAATACATGAATGTAGTCCCCCCCTAGCCATCGCTCTAAAACTTCCCTTTGAATCAAGAGAACCCATTGATGACGTACTTCAAGAGGGCACAACACAACGCACACCGTGCAACCCCGAAAAGAAAGATGAGCTGATGTTGATGCATTCATCGCGTCCCGTAGAAATAAAGTCAAGTAGGGAATCCCCCCCCCCCCCAACAAAAAAAACCAACGGAAGCCAGTGTTACCCTCGGTGTAGTAAAAAAGAAAAACAAAAGTCGTGTGAAACACCGACTCGGCATTCATCATCCGGCATGTTGCACTTTTCTCACAGCGCCAAGAAAGGCGCAAGGGGGGGGTTTTTTGCAGGAAGACACCACCGCCCGTCATCTTGTACCTACCTTGCGCAGACAGGCGATGGTCTCCAACCCATATGGTCAGGTAAGGTCATAATCGTAGGCAGCTGGAGCACTTTGCAACAAAGATCAAACGAGAATCTCATCAGACAGATTCATGAGGGCTTCACAAGAAGAGTCAAGAAAGACATTTCCAAGAAAGTAAGTAGTCTGGTAGTATTACAATTCCATACCCGCAAATATCATCAACCACACAAATCTCAATATCCCCTAAACACAAAATCCCTCCACGCGAGAACACAGAGAGCAAAAACATACAAATCGAAAGAAACAAATCTAGATACTTATAAGCCCTCCCACCTAAACTTACACAAAAAAAAAAAAAAAAAAAAAAAAAACAATGCAGCCATCACAGAAAATCGAGATGCAGGTGTACCTGGTGCTTTTATATAAAAGGACAAAGAAACAAGAGAGCTCAAAATTTCCACGATACACACACCCTCACATAAACAACAATGCTTTCCCCCATAGTATTTCGACTCCTCCTTACAAACCCCCTTGAAGAACGATGAACAAAAACGGAGCAATAAACAGCAAAAGCAAAAGCAAAAGCACTACCTCTCCATTCTGTGTTTCTTTTCCCCCTCCTGCCCCCTTCAACCCAAGCTAAAATGTCAAATCATAGGTAGACTCCGCTAAATGTCCTGCCAAAACAATGCCCAACAATACAGATTTGATAACAAGAAGTGACAAGTACAACAAGCGATACAGGTATATAGAACAACAAAACCCAACACACTGAATCAAACAGACTCTTTCCGAACTGAAGGGAAAAGAGGGAGAAGAGGGAAAGAGAAAAGAGAGAGAAAAGGGCATTGTACCACAGACTTTCTGATGCCGCATCACAAAATCCCACAACCAAGTCCAGTCGAGGCATGTGTAGTCGTGCGTGAGTGTATTTGCTTCATAACAGCCTCCACATGAGCGCAATATACGATTGGCAAAGATCATGCTAGTCGAAATACAATACAAAGGAAAGACAATGAAAAAGCTGTGAAAACAGTGCCAAATGAGGCATGCCCCTCCCCATCCAGCGCACCCTGTAGTAGTATAGGCCCACATAGGCACGAGCTACTCTTGACCAGTTTTTGTAAGTTGGGGGAAATATTAAACAGGCTGAACGATATCTGCTTTGCGCGCTCTGATGATTACAACTTGATGTTGGCAAAATTCGGCAATGCCTCCTGTATGGAAATGAAGAAAAAAGATGTACCAAGGCAACCACTTCACGCCTTGTCAATACCTCGAGGACGCAGAATCAGGAGATGAAGACGGCGCAACGGGGAGCTTGTCGGCTGGCTCCGGCGCAAATCCGCAAGTATTTCTTAGAAAGATGATGCTTTGTCCTTGTTTTCCAAGGCCATAGGTTATCGCTCATCGCCGCCCCTGGCTTTGCCTCGTCTCCTGAAAAAGTCCATGACGCGCTTGGCAGCTCCACTGCTTCCCTCGTGGCCTCGGTAGTCTCCCTGGTCGTAAGCATCCGTGAACCGCTTGTGGCTCTTTTGTAACACTCCACGGCCAGTACCAATTCCTCGCCCGTCGAAGCCTTCGGATTGGGTATATCCGTACTGATAGGGCCCCTGTCGAGCTCCCGCGGAAGGCTGGCGCATGTCAACCGACGTCTCGGATCCACTGTTGAGGTGTGTACCCTGCTGAAGATACTGGGGGACTGCATTCGGTCGTCTGGCAGCGTCTGCCGGTGCTAGGTTAGGATTTTGGTTCTGATTGGGCGGCATGGCCGTATCTGGCTGCTGGCCATCGTAGGCGTTGTCGAAGAAGGGTGTGCTACCTCCGTGGGTCGTCACGATCCGTCCAAGGTCAGCAGTGCGAGGATTTTGGATGGGCAAGTCTTGCGAAGAAGGGGGGGCGCTTCCGAGATCCTTGGAATTGCCAAAGGACTTGAGGGAAAAGGACGCGGGGAGAAGGGAGAAGCGTCGGCGCTCCTTTTTGTCGATGGAATCCTGAGAGCCATTGATGCTTCCGCTCGCCTTCTTTCCGAGGCCGAGAGTAAAGGATCGGCGGGATGCCTTCGAGTCTATCGAGGGCCGCGACCGAGGCTCTTCTCCCGCAGCCATGCCAGTGTTGGCCATGCTGATGGGAGGGTATTTCTTGGCCTTTTCGGCCGGCTGGTCCGACTTCTTTGCCTTGCGCCCGAACACGGACCCGCTGCGGCCCAGGAGCTTGGAGCCAATGTCTCCTATCGTATTGGACCTCTTGTGTCCCTTGCCATCACTGCTCTTAGGCTCATGGAAGCCTGACATCCGCGCAAACTTGGGGGGCACGTTGGTGCTGGTTCGCCCTAGCTCCTCATCATCGTTGCCAGCGCCGGCAGGCTGCTGAATACGGCCCTGAACATTGGTGTCAGCAATGGCAGGAGGCACTGGTTGACCATAGTTGCCTCCGGACTGCAAGCCGAGAGAAGTGGCAGACTGCATAGAGTTGCCGGTGCGTGGACGAGCGTTTGCTGCGGGAACGCCCATGTTGTATGTGTTGTCGGCAGCCGAGCGAGCGTCCCGCGAGGAGAGCGGCGGCTGAGGGATTCCACTCGTTTGCGCCCCGGGTGGCGGCCCTCTCTTTGACTGCGGTCGTGCCATGTGCCTGTCGTCCAGCGACAATTCTTCCTGGGCCGACTCGTGATGATGCCGCGACGTTGTCTGGGCCTGATGTCTGGACACTTCTGGCTCGGTGGCACCGCGTTGCGTCTGTGTGACGGGCGCGACATATTCGACCTGGACAGTACGACGCTTGGCGTCCTTGGACGTGCGCTGGGTAGTTTCGGGAGGCGAATCGATCTTGCCGTGCGTCTTGGCCAGACCACCAACGACGGCGGGTTGGGGAGATTTTTGCTTGGGCGCTTCGCGGACGGAGGCGCTCCTCGTAACCATGGGAGCCTCGGCATAGTCCGAGCCCGCCGCGCTGACACTCTGGACCTCTGAGGGTGATGTCGTCGAGCTCGTGATGAACTCGACGACGTGGGCATACTCGCTCAGCCAGCTGTGGCGAGCAACCTCGAACAAGTCCGCTCGCTTTCTCGGGTTCGGCACGAGGATTCGTCGTAGGAGATCTCGAGCATGCGGCGTCACGTATTCGGGGAAGGTCAGAGGCGTGGTGACGATGTACTTGTACAGAAGGTTGATATTATCGCCTTCCGGGTTGGCAGGGTCGTCGTCGAAGGGCAGATAGCCGGCCAGCATGGCGTACTGTTTGAATTCCCGAGTCGTTAGCTGTCTGGCCAAAGAAAGTAAAGCAAAAGCAAAGGATCCTCTCTGGACTCACCAAAATGACACCACAGCTCCACACATCAACCTTTCTGCCAGTATACAGCGAGTCGCTAACCACGAGTTCTGGCGCAGCATAGCATGGGCTGCCGCAGCTGGTCTGCATCAAGTCACCCTTGCGCATACCATTGGGCTTGACTTTGTCGATGCCAAGCCGCTTCACGTACTCGCGATCCGACAGGTTGAGCTCCTCTTCCTCCGTCAACTCGTCACGGGGGTCAAAGGTGTTAGCAAAGCCAAAGTCCGTGATGATGATGTTGCGGTTTCGATCGAGGAGCAAGTTTTCCAGCTTGAGATCGCGATGGACGATGCCCTTCTTGTGAAGGTAGCCCACTCCGGAGACCAGCTGGGCAAAGAGTCGGCGCGCCGAGTTGTCCTTCAGATACCGATGGTTCAAGATGTAGTCGAAAAGCTCGCCTCCCGATGCGTATTCGAGGATAATGCCAATGTATCTATCAGTCTCAACCATGTCTATCAATCGCACAATGTTCGGGTGGTGGATGCCGCGGAGAATGGTGACTTCGCGCTTGATCTTGGCCAACCGCGACGGGTTGTGGCCAACGGTGTCTCTCTTGATGAGCTTGATGGCAACCTGCATACATCCCGTCAGCACTGCCCGGCTCTTTTGGATATCACACCCCTCTCTTGCCTCTCATTGTCGCTGCGGGCGACGGGGCAACAAGCAAAGAGACTCACCTGCACGTTGCTATCCTGCTTCCATCCAAGCTTGACCTTGCCAAACTCTCCCTCGCCAATGGTGTTTCCAAGGATAAAGTCGCCAAACTTGGTGGTTGCCTTGCTATTGCGGCTGTGGTCCTGGCGACTTCGGCCGCCTCGTCGCTCCTCGGACCCGGCAGTCATGGAGATGACGGGAGGGGGCGCCGCGGGATCGACGTCCTGAGCTAAGCTGTGGTGAGTAGCGCCTCGGCCGTTTGGTTCCTCGCCGTTGGAAATGACCCTGTGCAGGCTCTCGCTTGCCTCGCGCGAGGACTTTGAATTTGTCGCCGTCTGATGGGTGCGGATGGGGATGGGGATGGAAGAAGGGGGTTCGGCGGCATGGCTTCCACGAGCACTGGCGGGCTGAGCTGAGGCTGAGGAATCCTGCGGAGTGTGGTAGTTGGATGCCCTCTTGGTCCTGGCATGGTCAGCAGCGCCGTTTGTGTCACCACGAGAGGCGATCCGCGAGCCGTCGGCCTGGGCCCGGCGCGGTGAATTGTTCATCTTGTCGCCCGAGTAGCCGCGCCCCTGGCCAGCGTCGGGATTGTTGGACGAGGTTCGCGGAGGGGCGACGGGCGCAGACGCCAGGCGGTCAGCCCTCGAGTGCTGGTCGGCGGCAGCAGCAGCAGCAGAAGCACGGGTCGCGCTGGTGGGAATGCGGGAGTTTAAAGGAGCGCTGGGGTCGGATGCAGCGGCTGCGCCTTGGGCGCTGGACTTGCGAGAGGGAGGGCGCCTTGACGATGGTGGTGTTGATGCGCTCTGGGCATTGTGGATGTCCCGACTGGGGGAGGACTGCGACTGCGAGTACTGGCGGTTGGAGGTTGGCAGCGAGGACGGCAACGCGGTTGGCTGGTGTGGAGGGGCCGTTTGGAGAGCAGCCGACGACATTCTTCCCGCGTTGCTACGCGCGACGGGCTGGCCCACCAGGGGTCAGGTTCTAAACGATCGGCTGCGGAGACGGTGAGCGCAAGCTGTTGGAGAGAGAGAGCAAGCACGGCGATGGTTTCGTTCTGAAGGCGGCTGTGTCAATGCTTGGAGCCAGAGGAGGACGGGCAGCAGCTGAGCCCGTGTAGTATGTGGCAGAGGCTGCAAGAGGGAACGACGGACCGTTTCGTTGGCTCGGGACTCGCTCACAGCGGTGAAAGAAAACAAAAAAAGAACGGTCCAGCGGCGCGCAACCTTGGCAACGCGGCAGACGCTTGAGCCTCAGCAGCAGTAGTGGCTGGTTGGCGTGGTGTTTGTGTTGTATTAGTAGGACTAGTATGTGTCGAGAGGGAGGAGGATCGGGGGAGCGAGGACGGGCCAAGGGCCAGGACAGGACAGGACCAGAGCCCAGACAGAGGAGCGGCGGCTGCTGATCAGCTGAAGAGGAAGACGCAGAAAAAAACAAAGGGCGGCCAGAGGCAAGACAGGGCAAACTCGGGGTCTCTCGAGGTGCGCCAACGAGCCAATTCACCACGATTTCATAGCCCGTTTGGACGACGGCGGCGGCCACGGAACAGCAGAGCGAAGCACAGCTTGGGGTTTCTTTGTTCCTTCTTCTGGCGAGTTGTTTCACAGACGAACGTTGTGGCCCAGCGGATTCAGCAGATGGCAGATGAGAGTCCCCTGAAGTTGCTCAAGTGGGCAGGCCGTCCGGACGCGCGCAGGGCCAAGGGGGAGGAGCCGACAGGGTTCAGGATGTGGTTGCGCAGAGCAGGTACTCGGTACGGGCTGGTCGTGCTTGGTGCTACAGTACCGCAGCTGCTACTAGTAGTAGCTGGAGTCGTGCTGGATGTGGTGTAGCAGCAGCAGCAGCAGCAAGTAGGGCAGGACGAGGCGCGGATTGGGTGCCTTGCTTGGTCCTTGAATCTGCCCGGCCCGGCGTTGCTCGCAGCCCGTTGAGAGTCGGGGCTGGAGATGGTGAGAAGGGAGTCGTGGAGTTTTCCGTGTGGACAGCCAGGGCGAGTTCGAGCGCTGCTGGTGCTGTAGCTGGGCAGCCTTAGCGATGACTGCACGCTGAGCTGAGCTGAGCTGACGCTGTTGCCACTGCAAGCTGCCGAGCAAGGCAAGCACCACCTCGCTCACAGGGCAGACAGCTAGGTACCTAGAGGTATCTACCTACCTATTACTGTAGGTGCATGTACCTTGGAGGTCAAGTACCTAGGTACTCAGTAGAGACGATGGCGTGCAGATTGATCATTTACACTGATCCAGTTCGATCCAATCCCGCAATTTCAGATGCAGAAAATGCTGATATCAAGCAGAAGCTGGGCCAGCCAAGAGGAGCAGTTGCAATCCAATCTGCGGTCGTGTCACAAGAACCTAAGGCATTCAAGGCGAGAAATCATTCTCTTCCTCAACTCATAGATATAGGTACCTTGCATATTACCTACACAGTCAAGGTACTTGGCATCTACATCTACACTTGCTGCGCGAGGCATGGCAGACAAACCTTGAAAGGAGATTGCATGTATGTACCTACTCGTACTCTTGCAGTACCTTACCCAGGTACTAACTTTTAGACGCGGCCACAGCAGAGGGCGGCCGACACGGAGCTGTCAGAAAAGCCGCGACACGGCGGACGGGGCCAAGACCTCAAGGCGTAAAAGGCCCCCAAGGCCCAGCCCTTTTTATTTTTCGCGAGATTGATCGCGCAGCACGAGATTGGGAGGTTGTGTGAGATGGGAATGCAAATGAGAAAGAAGCTTGGAGCCTTGAAGCTGGAGCGACTCACTTCACACGAACTATTACAGCCGCTGGACCCGCGCCGCTCAGTGGAGCCCTCTTTCGGTGTTTGCAGTGGACGTCCAGGGATGTTGCCTCGAGGTAGCCGTACCTGGCCTTGAGGTACCTTAGTATCTTGCACGACCTCCCGACCTCACCTTGCATCTCCCGTCGCCGGTCCATTCCATCGCCTCTTTTCATTCGCCTATGCTTCGCAACTACAAGTAATACCTTACTACCAAGTCATCAATGCAAAGCGCTGCCCATCGCTTGATGGCACGATGCCACTCAAGCCTTGAGGTATCCAAGACATCATCATCATCATCATCATCAACCCGCCCCCGGCCGAAACGCGCTATTACCGACCCAAGGCAGGTCAACAGATTTCAGGGGCCCCCCTCGTCGGTTCCTGCATGCAGGTACTGGGTACGGGCGATTACAAGCAGCATGCATGACTGACTGACTGGACCGGAGCGTCACGATGGCGGCCAAAATTACTAGCTCTCACCCGGCAGAGCAGGCCAGAAACAAACCCTGCGCTGAAGTCGGAGCCGGCATTGGGGACCAAGTGCGAAGGGGGGGAAAGGTGGTTTATTACCGTATCGTATCATGTCTCTGTACTTCAATTGTATGCAGTTCTAGAAACAAGAAGTGCCCTGCTGATCAGAGGGATACGGATACGGGGACTTGGTCCATGGAGTATGAGCATCTCATGGCGAGGTTTGCCTACCTGGTCCTCAAAGCGAAAAGAAGCAGTCGGGCAATTATTCTCGTTCATGTCTCATTCTATGCGCCACCGTGAGCTTCCCACAGTGCATCAAGATGTGTATCGATACCCTCTGACGCAGCCCGCTGTCTAAAACCAAGCAAATCGAAAGCCCGGCCCGGTCAGCAGCAGCAGCAGCAGCAGCATCATCATGCGTCGCCATCATCGGCATCAGCTTGCCCTCATCACCACCACCCCTTCCCGTCCCTAGCCTCCCAATGCCGGCCACCAATAGTACTACTAGTATCCCCAGCTCCCCCTCGGTGACGCCGCAAACCACAGCTTGGCCTCGGCGCAAGAGGGGGGGAGAGGGAAGAGGGAAGGGGGCCCCCATCCCGGTAGCGCAACCGTGAGGTGGGAATCCTTGCAAGGCCATTTATTTCAGTTCCCGCATGCCATCTCATATCATATCGTAATAAGTCGCAAGGGACAAACAAGCCCCAACGAATGGAGCTTCTCGTCGCTCGCTTGGTTGCGCCCATTGACCAGAAAAGGCCACAAGAGAGAGAGAGAGAGAGAGAGAGAGAGAGAGAGAGAGAGAGAGAGAGAGAGGCCATTGCGATAGGAGCAGAAAGGAATGACAGTGAGGCCAGGCAAACAACATGAACTCACGATTGATCACATACCTGTAGCATCGCCAATAACTGGCCAGAATCGTGTACCTACCTAGCCAGGTACCTCAAGGTAGGCAGGTTCGCATAACAACCACCAGTGCCTCGAGCCGTGTACACAGGCGCCTCCCTCCAACAACTCTCCCTCGCCCGCAAGCCCGTCCCGCGGCCTCGCTGCGCCGGCTGATACACACACACACACGAACGAAATGCGCAAACCCCCGGCAATATTCATACAAGTGATATATAAATAAAGCGAAACGCGGGCGGCTACTAGTACTAAGTCCTTTCGTACGAGGCGCACTAATCTCGATCCCGGCTTCAAGATTGCGATGCTGCGCGCTTTTGAACCATGCCGAAATCAACCCAAGCCGCCTCTTTCGTACCTACAAATGGACCATGTCGAATTCAACCCATGCCGTCTCTTTCGTAATGTTACAAACTTTTGACAGGAAATCGCTGCCCAATCTCGCCACGGGGAAATCATATGATGGACGTCAAAGCCATGACAACCGGTTCCATATTATATACCCTACCTACACAACTACTATAAGCATCCGTTGGATCCCTAATCTTGTTACTTGAGTGGAAAAGAGAAAGACGAAGCGGGAAGGAAGACGCAAGGAACAAGTCGCAACATCTCTCATCTGACCAATAGCGACATGTCGCGTCACTTCGTCTTGGAAGCGCATTCGATGTCGTCCAATGAGGCCAATCCTTCCATTTAACATGCTTTTCTGTACCTGCATGAGCGATGCTACCCTTGCCTCTCGCCCTGCCTTACCTACCTCTAGGTAGTACCCTCCTGTGTTGTTTACATCCCGTCTCGGCAAATAGAATAACATAAACTGCCAATTGAAGCAAAGGGTGAGAAAACAATCGAGCTTGGTCTCGAATCATCCGAGATTCTTCAGCCTGCCTAGGTAAGCACACCACACATTGCAAACCTACCCGGGATGCTTTCACAAGGTAAGGTGGGAATCACCATTTCCACACCGCTGTATTTCAAGCTCATGCCTTTCCCTCTCTTGCTTCCGGTCCTTCGTTCATGCTACGAGCCTCGTATACACGAAGAATCGTTGCTCCAAAGTCATTGCAAGCGTAAAAAGTCAAATACTAATAGTATGACGCTCTTCCCCTTTGTGAGCCTCAACCCGAGACAAGCTCACTCAAACGTGAAACCTGGTGTCACATCCCCCCCAATTTCCACCACCAGATTTGGCAACAGATGCTTCCAGTGTAACAACGGGCTTGAAACACAAGGTCTCTACATAACTTTAAGCCTCCGCCGTAACATGACAACTCGCTGTTCTCGCATCTACTAGTAGGTAGTTGTATCTGCAAGTTCAAGCAACCACTACTAACAAAAGCACCCACGCAAAACTGACATCTTCGCACATGTACGATCTCAATAACCACCTGATCTTGCGAGGAGGCATCACGACCACGCTTCATCAAACACAATCGATCCTAGCCGTGCATGTATGTATTTCCAGTCAGTTCCACTGCAGATATTTTGTGGGCGCGCTTTTCGCTGCTGATCGCATTGAAGCCGGAGATGAGCGAACTCGGGCTCGGGAGACTTAGAATAGCTTCATCTTGGCCCGCCAGATGCGCCGCCTCTCATATCTTTTTCCCTTTCGTCACGGAATCCGGAGGAGATACCGAACGAAGAGACATCAGATGCGGGCCCCCCTTATGTGGCCAGGCATGTTCTTGATGCATCATAATACAGGAATCATGAATCTCAGCAGCATTAGTAGTAGGGTAGCTCGGAGCCGGGGTGCCGAGCACGATTCCGCAGCCCGAGAGACGCACAACCCCATGGTATCGAATCTTGATTTGACAGCTTGTGCACACAGAAATGATCGCCCTATGATTTATTACATACTCAGATGATGCTACTGTACTGTAAACGAAGCACTAGATTCCCTTTCCAGATCCTCTCTAGCGCGCCAAGTTTGCCAGACCTCGCCGTCATCTATATCGTGTCTTGCATGAGATGATGGCTTGCCGCCTCGTCAAGGGCGGCAGCCCGTCCAATCAGGGCCGTCAGCAGATTTCGATTGATTGGTGTTTGATGCGGACAACAACAACAACAATGGTCCTGTTTCTCCTTCCAAGGGAGGGCGTCCCTCGTTGTGTCTCGGAATTGCTTGATTGTACTAGTAGTAGTACTGTGATTCATGCCCCTGAATCGGGGATGTCGCTTGACGAAATACAATGGCAGCAAAGGCGTTGCATTCCGATCCGGAACCGAGTACACATCCAGACATGTCCGTTGTCTGCCAATGAATCATTCCATTGTTCCTTGCTTACTACGCACACCTTGATCAGGTGCATCAGTAATAATCGTATCTCTCAACCGTGGAAGTGTTTTTTAGGATAAAGCATCCCCGTCCTGCCAAGTCCTTACAGCTTGATCGAAATGTCGTAGATGTCAAGCAGCACCGCAACACCCGTCACAGTCGCCGTGTAAGCCAAGAGAATCCCCATGGCCATGACCGGCGTCGCATCCAGCGTCGGGATCGTCATATTGACCAAGCCAGTCAGCAAGTTTGCAATGAGAAACACGGCCAGGCCGTTGCGGTTGTACGCCTTCAAGACATAGCTCGTGGCCACGTCATAGGCCTCCTTCTCGGACCGCGCGTCCGCGGCGTTGTAAAACGCGGGAAAAAAGATTGTATCAATGACGCAAAAGGCCAGAATCTGCCAGCAGTTGAAAGCCGCGACCCAGAGGACGTAGGGCAGGTTGGCCAGGCGGCGCGAGACGGTTAGGCCGAGCCCAAAGTCGTAGCTCGTTGCAAAGGCGTACAGCACGGTCCAGATGCCGGCCCAGACGGCTATCGTCATGAGCAGCGTGTTCCTCTGCATGCCCGCCGTGGAGTTGCTGCTCGACGTGATGCTCCGCGGGATGATGAACTTGCCGAGGTCCTGCCCGGCCAGGAAGATGGCGAGATAGCCTATGAAGCTGAAGATGCCCTCGCGGTTCATGGAGATGATGTCAACCCGTGGGGCGGCGAGGATGTATGCCTTGAGGTTCGTATACTCGAGCAGAGCTTGGTACGTGCCCACGAGGAGCAGAGCCAGCGCGGCGTGCGACGGGATGACGTCGAAGATGGACTGGAAAATGGCCACAAACGGGGGCAGAAAGCCCAGGGTGAAGAAGAAGTTCCAGTGGACGCCGTACTCGGAGACGTGCTCGGCGTACTCGAGGCCTTTGACGCTGAGCAGCCGGACGAAGCCCAGGACGAGAAGCGGGATGGAATGGCGGATCGATTGCAACAATCGGGTGGCGAGGGGCGTCCGGCGACCCAGCGCCCGTTCTTTGAGCACCGGGCGAGCAGCCACAATGCCGGCGGAGAAGACAAAAGAGCCAACGCCCATGTCCATGAGGGACGTGCCCCAGGTCTCTACTTTGGCGAAGCGCCGGGGGAAGAGCCGGAAGTCGACGGCCAGGATCGCAACGCAGGTGGTGATCATCATGTACCCGCGGTACGTCGTGAGAAAGGGCTTGATGCTCAGCGTGGGAAGAGGCCCCGCGGCAGCTTTGGACTGGGCATTTGGTGGAATCCTCGCCCTCTTCCTCGACGCCGTGGTGGATGGCGGGAGGAGCCATATCAGGAGAGCCGGCGCCAGCAGAAGCAGATTCAACAGTACAGGCGTGCCCGAGTAGAGAGTCGTGGCCAGCAGGAAAGTGCCGACGGTGAGTGAGAAGTCGACGACAAACCCAAGCAGCGAGTACGGCTTGAAGAAGGACTGCCGGGCCTGGAGAACAGACCACAGCAGCACGGCCGCCTACGCTCACCAGCGAGTTAGCAATCATGACCACAATCACGAGCTTGAATCACAACCACAGCCACAGCCACAACCACAAATGCAGTCACAATCAACAAGGCAGATGCAGACGCAGATGCAGATGCAGTGGCTGAAACGGCGGGGGAAAAGGACATGGACTCACGGGCGCAACAGCAGTCACGTAGCTGATTTCCGAGACGGAGCCGCCCGACAGGTTGGACACAAAGTCCTCCTTGCGCTGCTTGTAGCTCGCCGCCATATTAGACATTAGAGATGGATGACTTGTTCTATCTTGGTGTTGTTTTCTCTGGAGCTCCAAAGAGAACGGGCCTTATCGCATGGTAGCTGCTGAGCGACGGGCAGCTCGGGGAATGTAGAAGAAAATAAAAAAAGCGAAGAGGCTGGAAAAAAAAAAAAGAAGAAGAGAAGAAGAAAGATAACTGGTCTAGAACGATGCCCGAGCGCTTCCAATCTGCCCGCTTGGTATTCTATTTCTTTGACGGCTTGAGTGAAATCGATGCGCTGTTCATTTCAACAAGAGAGGCCATCAACGGCCATGGGGATGGAAATGGCCGCGGCTTTTGCTTTTGGGGGGCCTTATTGAGCCAATCATCTGCCGCTTCGTGGACAGTTGTCGCCCGTAATGGGTCGTCACGTGAATTGCAGTCAGTGGCTGGTTTGCATCAAGATCAATGCATTTGCTTCAACTCTGTCGATTACATACCTACATACCCGACATATATCGTAGGGCAAATTACCTATATATGTGATAAGTTTTTGAGACTTGATATAACAAGGCCCAACAGCTGGATTCCACGGGAATGACGAGAGAAGAAAAGACAAGAAGCACATTAGACTCCCTTTCATGCTGCAGAATCTGGCGTGAGGCTTTTGCCATCCTTTGTCCTGCGTGTTGGCGGGATGAAGTGAGCCCGTGCGGCGCCCTTTGTCACACCGGCGATACTATCGAGCATCACCAACCGGTTTTCTTGTCTGACCATGACTGAAATTCGACCCGCCACGTCACAGCCCCTTGGTCTTTGATATGCGGGGAGGAAGGGGAAGAAAAAAAAAAGAAAGAGGGAAAAAAGAAAGTAAGGCAGGGCTTAGAAATTTTTGATGGGCAGGACAAAACCCTAAGGGAAGTAGTAGACAATAACAACAAGAGCAAGGATCATGCTTGGGTCCTGAATGGCAGTCCTGGCTATTGTAGTTGGGCCACACACACGCGGCGCGATCAGCCGTTGTGATATCATGAACGCCACGCGTGAAAAAGGGGGGAGAGGGTAGAGAGATGTTGTGATATATTCTCCTCGTGTCCCCTCGTAGCCCAGATGCCGGCCTTTTCCTAAGCCTCGACTTACACCACTTCACTCAACAAGATCCTCTGCAGCACACATCGGGACGCTTTGCCTTCATCGCCTCCCCAGGTCCTAATTCGCCTTGCCTTTCATCATGTCCTCTTCACCAGAAAATGTCTCTTCACCAGAGAATGTCTCTTCACCAGAGAATGCCTCTTCACCAGAGAATTGGCCACGGAGGGGCCCTCTCACCCTGGGAGATGATCTTTCAGCAGGACTCAAGCCATTGGAAAGCATGCTTTACGAAGTTGACAAACGCTCAGCCGCGGCACGACTACGCAAGAGGCGGAGATACTCGAGGGCAGGTCCGCGAGGTCAGTGGCCGGAGAGGCCATTCAAACGCACCATGTTCCGCTTCCGTTGCGTTCAGCCCATATATACAATCTACCCGAACAGGCCTCCTCGTCCTCTTACGCGCCTGAGCGATGGCATTTTCGTCTCCCGGCCCCCCACGCCTCCTCCCCGAGGGCTTTCTGAAGCCGAACTGGTCAGATGGTACCGATATCGGCAGGTAGAGGACATGCAGGACTATCTGTGGACGCTCTGGACAGACGGACGCCATAGGCTTGGCCGCCTCGCCGACGCACACGTCCTCGTCCGGGCGCTGCCGCTCGCAGGGGCTAGCAGCCCTACCGCCTCGCCATCCGAGGCGCCGGACGTGCCAGCCTCGTCGCTGTCGTCTCCCACGTCGATGACCCCGAAAAGCCTCTCGCTCCGAGCAATCGTCCGGCCACAGTCGGGCCAGCCCTTTGGCCTGAAGCGCGAGTTTGACCTGGATGCCCTGAGGGAAACGATATCTGAGCCTCCGCATGACATTTCTCCAGCCAAGTTCGATCTGAGGGAATGCCTGTCCTGGGTGAGGCCGCTCAACGGCTCACGGCGGGCGTCTTGGCCGGCAGCAGCAGCAGCATCCGCCTCCAGCATCGAAGAAGACGACGTGGCGGGCGAGAGAAGGGCGGCAAAGATCGTCAAGCCCAGTGCTCCCGTCCAAGCCCATGGGCTTTCATCAATGTCTGTGGGCGTGCCCATACGTGAGTACATCTTTTGTTATTTCTCCCTTCTCCCTTGTTCTTGAAGGCTCCTGGCCTGTCAGTAAACGGATTCTGACCAAAAGATGGGAATGTAGATCTTGATTACGCACGAGCGACTTTGCCAGCGCTGGCGGCCATTATCATGTCGGATCGGGTCAAACGAGGAGACACGATTGATTTGGCACTGCCTCATCCGGAGGCGTGGCCCGAGACGGTGGCCTACATTTATCTGGGCAGGGTTGAGTTCCTTAATGCAGAAACGGAAAAGAATGTCATATACCTCGGTGGAAAGGTTGGCCGGGGGAGATACGCCAGGAACGGGTTAAAGTTTTTCGACTATCAGAGTACATTTTTCTGAACTATGGCGGCTTCCTTTACTTCATCATCATCATTATCATCATCATCATCATTTTCTTTTCATTCTTCATCATTATTATATCTTCTTCTCCTTCTTCTCCTTCTTCTTCTCCCCCTTTTCCCTTTCTCTGTCTTCTATATCTCCCAGTCCTCTGCTCATATGCATAGACAGCATGTTCTTTCTTGTCTGCCACTCTATAGCCAGTCTACAGGTCTTAAAATGGTATCTCCGATGTTGATTTACCGCTCCAAGACTCGACTTCTTGTCGGATTACCCACAGTAAAGCAAAGCAAGTATATATAAAGACGACCAGGTGCCGCAAATGACGCTGCGTCATCAGATACAATCACATTTATATCATGTTTACGGTTGTTGCATCACCAGTTGCTCACCCTTCGACAATGGTTTCCTCCTCATTCTTCGTCACACATCGCTCGTAGCTGGTACTATTCATTCAGCTAAGTTCATCTCCTCTCGACTCATTACTCTCCCAGATCTAGCAACCTTACCGGTCTAACCAAGTTCCGTTGAGAACTGTCGTAAAAAGTCCACTTTTAACACACTCGTATATCATCATTGTCCATCATCTCTTCCTCCTCCGGCAGCATATCACGTTTTTTTTTCTCGAGCCTATGTGATATACCGGAATTAGGCCCCCTAGATCACGAGCAAACTCAAAGAACAGGACAAGAATGCTCTCCATTTGAAGCCACCAGCGTCTCTTCTCGTTCTTGTTATCAATAGTATGACTATTCACATTGCACTGCCACCAACACTGTCATAACACGCAATCTATACTGTCCAACACTCCAACACATGGCCTTTTTCGAATATCTCCTTCGTCGATACATTGTATACTTACAACATCCCATACATCGCCCAATCTCGGAATGACAAAGGGAACCATTCTTCACTCTTAGTGTCCAGATACACGTACTCCCAGCCCCCCCAATGGCGTCCCTCATTCCGCTCCCTTAACCTCATCGAGCCAATACGAAGCAGCCCGCTCTCAGCTGATCTCTCCTCCGGCTTGAGCTGCCTAGGATGGTACATACATACAACACTCGTCATACATGTAGGTACGAGGCAGTCAGCGTCGAAGATCAAGGTGGCAAAAAGCCCTCCTCCCCAAATAGCTCTTACATAACTGCCTAGGGGGGGGGGGGGGCTATTACTACGGAGGACTAACGATTTGCGGCCGTTGCGTATGTAGCGTCGCCCTCCAAGCACTACTACGCAATACGGGGGGTGGTCTAGATAGTATGGCGGATGATCCCCTCGATAGCCGGATCGCCCGTTGCTCAGCCCTCGGGTGGGAAGCAAGACGCAGGGTGGTCTCGTCATGAGCTGAGCCGTTCTCGTTTTACTATATCGGTGACAGGGCTGAACACCCTCACAAATACACACCTTACACCTTACCTTACACACACCTTTTCTCTTCATGTTTTTTTTTTCTTGGTAGGTCGTCCGTCATCTGTCAAACTACTTGTCTGGGCACATGAGGCCGCAAATCGGATAGCCACTGAGCCGACGACGACCCGGATCTTTGTCTAGCCTCCGTCCTATGCTACAGAATTTGGCCCTCGGGACAAGTCTCGACCGGCGCGGCACTCGACGAACAACATGAGTCAAACGGTCTACCCAATGTCCTCATGCACACTTTACACTGAGTAAGGCACGGTACAGTAGTCGTAGACGGGCCAAGTCATGCTACATAAGTCACACACAAATCATCGCAAGCAAGGAAAAAAAAAAAAAAGAGGAGGCAAATACATGACACGTAAGTTGCTCAATCCCAGAACGGGCAGATAGATAATATTATGCCCACCTTCCAAAAATGCAGCTGCAGGAGCAGCAAACATCGTTTTTGGCAGATTCTGGGCGAGCGTATGTGTGTGTGTGTAACCGAAAAAACCTGATGTTTTGGTAGCAAAAAGGCGCTGCCACCACATACTTACATGCATACATGCAGTACTAGGCATGCATGCTTGATGCCGGATTCCAACTTTTCGGCATCACGACTGCAGGCCCTGCTATATGGTAGGTAGGTACTTGTATGTGTCTTCTCACGCCCCCCCCCCCCCCCCTCCATCTCCCATCCTTTTCATCATCTCTCCTTTTAGGATCGCTCTCGTCTTGGTGGTAGTACTTGGAAGATACCTGCGATACCTACCCATCATCGTCCCCCACCTCCACTGACTCCAAGTTGAGGCTAAGGCAGCTCCGCTGGATATGCACAGAATCGTCCCCAAGCCAAGAAAACGCACACTCCCTCTCCCCCTCCCCTCCTCCTCCTTCTCCATCGTGATGCCACGATCCATCACTGCCAGCAAGCGAACGCCTCACCTGAAAGGCGATAAGCCCCGACCTCGTTTTCGCTTCTGCCGTGCATCTTTGTCACTAATAATCTGGGGGGTGAGAGAGGGGGGGTTAGAGAGGAGAGGGGAGGAGAGTAGTGGGGATTATTTCCTTGAGCTTTCGTCTTAGTAGTACCCGTGGACGTACCTACCTATAGCAAGGTACCTAGTATTGATGAACGTATCAGTTGTGGTTCCTTCTTCGCCTATGCATCTCTCAGCTGCTAGATCTGGATTGCCTCGCTTCCATCACTACCTATGGGCATTACTACTCCTGATCCTACCTGGCTATTTTAGGCAGAGAACTTGTGCTCACCTCACTTGCTTATTATGTGTCTCGTTGTCCCACTGCACGCCATGCTTGCTGCGGCAGGCTGGGGCCTCCATCGTTCCCCGGTGGCCTTAGGATACCTATCCATGTATGTAGGTACACATCTGACGGAAGCACCGCGAGGATTAGGCCATGGGAGGTTGTGCAACCGCAACCGCAAGCAGAGCGACTGTCACCAGGCACACGTCACTGGCTGGCCAAATTGCGTAAATGAGACGTGGTGCGGCTGCATATTTGCAGCTCTGGTCACCGAAACGGGTGGATGCAGGGGGATGGATGGGATGCAGGACATCTCGATCGAGAGACGAGGTTGGCATGGAGAGCAGCGGGTGGGTGTCATACATACATGTTTGGCCGAAGCGAAGCCAGCATGGGACTGGTGATGGCTACAGGTACAGTCTGCCAGAGTCATCTGCGAGGTACTAGTATAACGGTTGAGCTTGATTGAGAGATGCGGCGCCAATGAAAAGCCAAGTAAAAAGCTTACAGGGGCACTCTATCGTGCGCATCTCCTGTGCCTACATACCTGTCAACCAATTTAAAAAAGATGTCAAGCAGCTAATGAGGCAAGGCAGAAGGGTGCCCATCCGTAGCCGGCAAATGCCAACACTGCCGCGCCTCTGCTGCCGTCCCCGGGCTTCTTGCTGGCCGACCAAGTCTCAGCTCATTGTTAGCGATTTTTCTTTCACCTGCACAAGCTTCTGTTCATGGAGAAGCAGTGCCCAAATAGCCAGCGTGTTTGTTCAACAAGTAGTACGTGTAGGCGGAAGAATAGTATCACGGATTACTAGTGCCAGGCCAGCTGCAAGCCCACGGGTTTCCCCCGCGTTTACAGACTGGATCGTGGCCCCCCCGTGGTGAGCCGACTACGGAGCCCGACGAAAAAGCCCGCTCGACTGCCCACGGGATTGACAGTCCCCGTCCCCTGTGTGAACTCCCGGCTGCCTGCAACACCTCCGGGGAGTGCCGCCAAATGCCGCTATCGCGAAAACAAGCCGGAGAGCGGGTGCCGTTGTTCGGTTCAGGAGTTTGGCTGGAGGTATGCGTCCATAGATACATAAATGTCCTCTCTACATATCGGAGGAGAAGGGGGGGCGTACGATATGCGGCCGAACTTGTCGTTGGTGATGTTTCAATTGCTACTTGATACATACGAGATATCGGAGTGGAATTGCCAGTCGCGGCCCGAAAGCACGACTTCAAGTTAGAGGAAAGCGAACACGAAGTAGGAAGGAGTTGCAACAAACACTGTGGGCATGCCGAGATGGTTGCTGTTGTTGTGGTGGCGTTTGATGCAAATTCCCTTTGTCGTTGTTGTTGTTGGTTCTACTAGCAGACGACTTGTCGATTTCTTCAACACCGAACCCTTGTTTACCCTTGTTTCCCCCCCCCCAGACGAATCAGGGTCTTTTGACGAGTCATTGGACGTTGAAAATGGCTTTCTGTCAAGCCCGAACAACCTTCCGGACGGACCGGCTCGTCGGCCACCGTGTCAGACGGTCCAAAGCTTGTCGCCATGGCGGACAGTCTATGAACCGTGTGGGAAGAGGGCCAGAGACGACAGTTTTCAACTCTGAGCCATGAGGCCCATCCTGATGCATGAGAGAAGAGACAACGACGCCATGACTGAAAAGGGCAATAACGGGGCAGCAGATGATAGGGGGACAACGCATCAGCAACTGACGACTTGTGAAAGAAGGAGAAAGCCCCATGAATATGAAGAAAAACCCGTGGTTGGATGGACATTTATGCAGGGTAAGTCGGCGGGTATCGACCAGACGAATGACAACTCCCGCGAAAGAGGGGGGAAAAGACCGCTTATGCGCAACCGTGGGCGCTCTGGACGTACTCTGGACGACTCATGTCTCGAGGAGAGGGCAAGCCATCATGGCAAGCTAGGCGACAACCAGAAGCCGTGCAGATATTTTGACCTGTCAACTACAGCACGCATCGCCCGCAGCCCACATCCAGCCACTCCGGGGATACTTTCTGCGCCATTCAGTCAGTCGCGGCAATGAGTGCGAGGACCAGAGGCTAAAAAGCGCAAGGCGCAACGAACAAAGCATGCTCAAGCACCAGGCACGGTTGCTGAGGTACTGTTTGTACACGTAGCCAACAGCCCATTCATTCATCGACGGCCTCGAGACGTTTCCACAACGTCCTTCTCTGGGCTTCTGTTGGACTCCCTGCCTGCCTTATTGCACCCCTCCCTTGGTCGAGACTCCAAGCGATGAACGGCCGCATCGTGATACTTTGTCCTTTTGCTAGAGCCAAGCCATCTCCGGGCTTTCGTGGGGGAGAACAAGGAAGGGCGGCGGGGACCGGGGGTCAGCCGTCGCCCGAGATCTCTGCAGAGCTGCCGGAGCTCGCCAACTACCTACCTTATTACCGTAGAGATAGACGAGCGAGAATGTGCATCTGGAGAGCAAGCAAGACGTCTCGAAAGGTGTAGGTACTTCATCTACACACGGAGTAATAC